CTTAGGGGCTCTCACTTACTAAATAAACGAAAAACACGTACCGTATCCTTTGGTCTGCTTGCGCGCCTGAATGTGGTTAATCCTACAGCCCGCTTGACGTGATTATCGTTTGAAATAGTACAACATTATTATACGCTTTCGAAAATAAATAAATAAATATAGTGACAGGGCAATTCTGAATAACCATTCAAAGACGTCCAATCCCCCCGACGTCCAAAGTACAGCTCAGTAGTAGGAAAAAAGTTAATTCAGCGTCGAAGCTACAGTTACAGACAGTACGTCCTTTAATTACTTTGATAGATAATATTGCCCAAAAATGATTTGGTGAAATCAGGTGATGATCTAGGAGATCTACCCATCAGTAGTTTTTTCTCCTTCTCTCGTTCTACTCTGGCTCTTTTTAGCTCCTCTGTGTGCCTATAGGAAGCATGCCATTAGCCGATTTACTTCACTTGGCACATCATTCCATTAAAGTTTTTCCCTATAGGGTTTTGGACATCTGCATTATTTAGGAATGATGGAAGACCATATGAAAGGGCTGTCATCACATGTGCCCTGTGCTACAACACAACCTAGTTCCTTCATTAACAGGACAGTGCTAAAAATCAATGGAACTGAGGTGGTGGGGGTGAGGGTTAGGGAACACTAACAGGTTCTCAATTTGATACGAAGAGACATATCCCAAGACCCCAGTTTACTAATATTTAGAAGCTTCTCTACACTTATCTTCTGTGGAATCACTAGTCTGTTTGTGGCTGGTGTCTGAGGCCAGACTATGAGACACATTACTGGGCAGAGAGGATCAAGACGTCCACATCCAGGAGCTCTCCTTAGCAGAGTGCTAAAAGAAAGTAAGGGCATGCATTCAACTTACCCACAATACACTGAAAAAGAATCCTCCCCAGCACTGGTTTTGCACCCATGCAGCCGTATTACCTGTTCAGATTTGGGGTTCCGCTTGAAACAAATGTCTTCTTTGGCTGACTAACCAAAGTCAAAGTAACTAGCACAAACCAATATGGTATATTTTTCATAGAAACATGTTTGTAAAAGCAACCCCTCTTTCTTGTGGGGGAGGGATAAAGAAGACTGTCTAAACCACAGTTTGCCCGGTAAGCTTTTTCATTGGCACCAGAAGTATATGTTCTCTGTGCTTGAAAGTAGCCAAACAAATCAATTTCTGACCAAACTACTTCTCTGTACCACAGTACAAATTGCCCTGTGAAAAAAAACAAGTCACTTGATTTTTTTCGAACTGTGCATGTTCAAAGCATGCAGGATTCCATATCCTTTATATAAACCACTAATATTATACACTTTTACAAAGGACAAATATACACTTTTGAGGGGTCCAAATATATTCTTTTAATATTTAAAGGAAACTTGCGAATTAAATTTACTACTAGTAAATTTAATTTACTAGTAAAATTTACTAGAAATTTACTAGTATTTCAGCACATACTTTCAAAACATTACAGAATAAGAAGTGTATCATTGAACATGTCAAATTGAATAAGACTATTAAACTGCGTTCCCTTGTTAGCACTGTAATCATAAAAAATGGGTTAATCCTGAGCCCGATGTAGCTACTTGCAAAGATAATGCTGCCCCCTGGCGTCTAAAATAAATACTGTAAACGCATCGGGGGGAAAAAATCATCTGCTAGAAGAAATGTAGCTATACATGAAAATGAAAGATCACCTAATGACAACCATTGTCTAGCAGTAATTTCAATGGAGCTAGCTATATCATACAAATTATGTTTTGGTCACCACGTGTTTACTGCATTTAAGTACAATATCGTGCAGCTCTATTTAAAGTACATGAACCAAATGCTTCCAAAGAACGTGTTTTATCTAAAAAAGGTACGCCGCTTGCCGGGAGCCAGGCGTCCAACTAGCTGCCTGCAGCGTCACCTTGATTATCACCAGTTTCTGAATCCGCCTCTCTTGAGTCGATTCACTATCCTGCCTTGTATTCTTCGTGTGTTTAGTAATGCCTGAGTGTTTACAATCACTTTGGTATACCGAAACATGGCTCCTGTCAGAGGAACAGGTTGCTTACCAAAATAGTTAACCGAGATCAGAAGCAAAACCTTACAATTTTTAAGAGATTTTAATACTCACCAAGTGGTGCTGGCTGCCCATACATAGTTTTTTGTTTGCGTTTGGCACTTTGATCGCCACAGATTCGCGTCGGTTTTCAACGCATTTTGTGAGCTAAGAAAGCCGCCTAGCTAAGGTGGCCGCAGTAAACGAGGGACAATGACGGCGAGCACAGCTGGGACCAGCAATTGTTTTACAGCTAAAAGTCTGGACATTAGTCTTGCCGCTTTAAAAAGGCAAGACCCCTATATCAACAACATAGTCGATGTGGCTAGCCAAGTGGCGCTCTATACGTTCAGCAATAAAGCAAATGAATGGGTAAGATCGATAATCACGCCATTATTTTGCCAACGGCCGAACGGTGGATCGTGAATGGCTTTCAATAAATACTTCAGGTGTCTGTCCGGGATTGTGTAGAAATTATCAGGCGGTCGTTAATGCCTACCACGCGGTCACTTCTTTTGTTCGTTGTATTTAGTCTTAAGAGTTGTTTCCTGTAAGAAAAGTATCGACATTTGTGAATAAGTAATACTAGAAACTATGTATAAAATAGTATGAATTTTTGTTCGCTTGTTTTTGTGTCTCTTGGTCATGTTTTTGAGATGGAATACTATCGGATTAAATCTATAGTTAACATAAAATTCGTAGTTAAATTAATAGTTAACATAGTTATAAGCTTACTAGGATATATAACGTAAGTAACGTTTTAACACATGGGAATTTACAGGATGGCCTTAGCCAGAAAGTTTGCATGACATTGGAACATTGCATTGTAATCTAGTTATCAAAATCTATATTTAGGGGGAAAAATCAGCTTGTTTTATATTATAGGTTATTAAATGAATACATAAGGTGATACACCTGCGGGGGTATATTTCTTGGCTGTTGAGTTTGTTTGCCCCTGCATTTCTGGTCTGCACTGTGTCATTTGTCTACAGACAACAAGCGTTTACACAGTGCACTAGAAGGGGTAGTGTATAATTCTTGCCAATTGACTCATCTACCAGGAAACAGACCTATGATGTGCTAACGGAGGGACATAAATTAGGTAGCAGCATGTGCACAGCGGCGACCTTTTATTAAAGGAAGGAAGGTTCGAGGGCTGACGTTATACCAGTAAGAGGTTGAATGTCACACAAATGTCACCCTGTTCTCCGTCTTGCAGGAGAAAACGGATGTGGAGGGAACCCTGTTTGTGTACACCAGGTAAAGGGAACCTGGGAGGGCCTGCTTTTTATCAGCTGTTTGACACAACTCAGTGTGTGTGCCATTTATAGCCTGCCTATCAGTGTGGTCATGTGACTGGGCTGATTACAGCTGTTTGGATACCTACTTATGGGGCAGTTCTCAAAAAAAGTAAATTCACCGTACAGATTTAAGCCTATTTTAATGTATTTAAAGGTTTAGAAATGGTACTAAAACTTGTTTTGTAATCCCTGAGTTGAAATGGTCCCTTGTGATCTTTTTCTGGTAGGTTAGCATCCCCCAGACACGGCTTCACCATAATGAACCGCCTCAGCATGGATAACCTGACAGAACCGATAACTAAGGATTTGGACTTCCAGCTGCAGGACCCCTTTCTGCTCTACAGAAACGCTCGATGTAAGTGCTTGTGTGGGATGTCAGCTGGGCTTTAAGTTTTCAGGCGTATGACAGAGAGTCTGCTTTTTAATCTAGCAATCAGGATAATCGGACCTTGCATCAGTGGAAGGTAAACAAGGCATAAAGAATTTGTGGGGGATGTAATGTCGTCCTGACAGTTCTCCTCCACTTGATTCTTTATTTTGATGCTGTAATTTCTCTTAACGCTCACAGCCATACATAGATAAATACAACAGAACAATAAAGATGTGGCAGCCACAGTTTGCATCTTAGCTGGCCAGGAATTTTAACTCTGGCATCATCAAGCGCTTAATTTAATACATTCAATTTAGACCTGTGCACAGGCTTGGAGAGAGAGGGGCCGGCTGTTTCTGCACTCAGGGGTCTACAGCTCCTTTTATGGTGGCGAGGTATGTCAGTGGCTGTGGGCCCAAGTTTGTCTGCGTTTGTACCGGTTAACTCCGCCGCTGTGCTGCCAGCATCAGGGGACCCAGCCAGCCAGGCCGGATAAGATAAACCCCTCCCCTCATCAAGCCCGAGACATATGCAAACCTCCACACACAAACACACACACACACACACACACACAGAGTCTTTCTGGCCAGAGATGGCATGTGGGACCAGAATGAGCCTACACACAAAAAAAGGAAGAAAAAAAAACAAAAACCACTGGAGAAGATTTTAAGTGCCTGGCTGCCTGTGTTCAAATTAGCCACGAAGAAAAGCTCTTTTCCCGTGTGAACGCTGGGGAAACTTCGGTGGTGCTGTGACTGTATGCAGGGATCTACAGGTCAGGCAAGCAGCCATCTTCAAAAATCTTCAGAATTACAGAGTTTATTCTTGGAAAATTTAGCTTTAGAAAAGTTCTCGCACTGCTAATTTTTATGAGTACTGTTTTCACTCTATGAAGGCATCTAAATTTAAAAACTTTATAGACATCCATATTCTTTAACGAGGAACAAACAGCAGAATGATATTTACAGTTTTTAACAATGAGAATCATAACATCTGGGCTGTGTCCATATAGTCAGAGAAACCAACAACTGTAAACACTGTTGAAAAACAAGACCTGTGTGTTCATTCGCAAGCTGCCACCACAAACAGCACAGCAACATAGAAAACAAGCGTTTTCCCAGAGGCAGATCTCAGAAGACAACAAATTCACAAATCAAGCAAAAGCAGATTAGGTCATCTTTCCCCACATGAGCAAAGCACAAACCACACAGGATGGTTTAAAATAGCTGGGGATTGACGTGTGCCGGCCAGCGCCAGGCGATTGCGAGTCCTCCTTACCTCCGGGCCGCACATATGTGCATTCAAGTTGGGTCTCCGAAATGAGCTTCCCTCTGAATTTCACATCGGGCTCCTCTTCCAGGCGCTCGTGCTTCTGCTTGCGGTGAAACAACCGGTGGAACATGGTCTTCTGGAAGACCCTTAAGGTGGCCTGCTTTGCTGAAAGGAGAGCAGGAGGCTAGGGCTGCCCACTCTTACCACCTGTGGCCTCCCAAATTGAGCAGAGGTACTCCTCCTCCTGGTCGATGTGCCGGAGGTGTTCCCCTCCTAGGCGGTGCGTTTCTGGACAGGGACAGCTCTGGGCCTTGGGGCCTAGATGAGTGCAGAGTGGCTGCCCTCAAATGTCCCTCCTGTTGCCCACTTCAGACTAGTATGCTGGGCTGCCCACTTTTTCCCCTTAGCCAATCCTCCTTTTGCCCTCTTTATTTCTGTCGTCCCTCTCTCCTTTGGCCACTATCTCTTTCTCGTTATCTCACGCTGGAAGCGAGAGTCCGGTGGAGGTGAGAGGAAATGTTCGCTGCGACTGTCAGCAGGGCTCTTGACTTAGTCATGCAGAGCATTCGTTTCCAGCTCCCCCCCCATTCTCCTCTCTCTCCTGCTTCTCTCTCTCTCTTCTCTCTCTTTCTCCCTTCCCGGACACCAAGTCTGTCTCTCCCACAGCCCCCTGAACCCCATTTCCTCCCTCTGTTCCCCTCTATCCCACTAGACCACCGGTCTTATCCAGCGATTGGCCTCTAAACTCTCCTTAACTGGTTCACAAGTGCTCATAAATACCCCATAAAACCTCATCAGCTATCTTCCCTTCAGGATAAGCTGAGGCAAAACTGTTTATCCACGCGATACATTAAACATCAGTGTAATAGCTAAAAAATGTGAAACATAAATACGTTTGCATCCCGACGTGGCCTTGCACGTTGTTTTTGCATATTCATCTGTTTAGAGATTTATTTCACTGTTTTGGTGGGCGTGACAGTAATTTCGGAAGCATTTAATTTACAAACATCGATGTAAGCTTGAAGTTACGGCTTACTGACGTGTTATTTTCGTGGTTTTTAAATCTCGCTGCTTCTGTTCATGGTGACCCACTTCCTGAAGGTACTGTGTTATTTCTTTGGCATCTGAGACTCTGTGGCACCCTGTGTAAAAATGTAGACAGAAATTTAGACAGTTATCCATCAACCTGCCCCGCTATCCACAAAAAAAGCAGAGAGGGATATGGTTTTACTCTGACCCTTCACTCAGATGAAGTATATGGCAGCTTCCATCTTCGTTTTCATGATGTTGATTCATGCTGCACATACCCCCCAACCCCTGCCTTTCATGGGGAGGCGGGTCACATGACCTTGGAGGCACACAGCTCCCAGTAAGCACGCTGCAGACTGATCCTAACCCACCCTGTCAATCATTAAACTCTTGAGGATGGTTGGTTTTCCTACACCAACTTATCTGCTGCCTGTCTTACTCAGTCCATTGTTTACGTCACCTAAGCTAGTTCATAGTTTCATTCCTCAGAGTAATAAAATAAACAAAGTGAATTGTTACAGCAAGTATTGTTATTATAAAGGATTTTAAAGCCTGTGAAATGTCAGTAAGCCTGCAACCTCTGTCTGTACGCTTCCAGCCTGCCTTTAATCTAACCTTTGTGTCCATTCTCTTGGCTTCAGGGTCCATCTATGGCATCTGGTTCTATGACAAAGAGGACTGCCAGCGAATAGCAGAGCTCATGAAGAAGTAGGTCCCCTCCTTGGCAAATAAAATGGTGCAGCTAAGTCTGATCAGCACAGACAAGATCTTTACTCAATGCCACCTATAACCCCCAAGGACTAACGTGACGTTTACAGAATGGTAGCCTGCGCTACTCAAAATGTAGATCCATGTGGTCTTGCTACCCATTATTGTGTTACAGTACTCAATCACACCTCTAACGACTAGGGTAGCGGGCAGACTGTCCATCTTAGTAAGATTGTGAAAATCTGACTCTGGTTCATACTGCACACTGGTAATCGCTTCCTGCCAACACTTAAAGGGCACATGGCAGTGGGAGTATGGTGTTTCCAGTAACGCCTCTCTTCTGTCCCTTGCTCTAGTCTGACGCAGCAGGAGCAGCTCCTGGCACAGCAGGGGGAGGGAGCTTCTCCGGGGTCTTTTCCTGCCAGGGATGGCAAAGGAGTTGACATTCTGCAAATGCTGACCAAAGCCAGAGTCGAGTACGATAAGGTATGGGCGCTGGCTCACAAACGTGCCACTAGGTGGCACTGACGTATAAATGGAGCAGCAGTCATGTAGAGCTAGGTGATTTTCATGATGGTTGAATAAAGATTTAACACACTAACATGCATATTGTCAATCATGGTTTTACATTATACATTCTTTATAAATAATGTAGCAATATACTATTATATACATACCAAGTGCTTTGGTTTGACTCTTGCGAAAGGCACAGCATAAAAAAAATTAATTTAAATATTAGTAAAGGCTACAGTTTTTTTGTCAACCAATATGAAAAAAGTCTATGTTGTCCCAATAAATGCTACAGCCCCACTGAGCTGAGCAGTGCACCCAATCAGTTGTACAGAAGCACTGAAATATTATCCCTGTAACTAAATTCCACTTCATGTGGAACTGGTTCAGAAGTTTCAAAGCTAAGCAAAATGTGATGGGTCAAGTTTGTGCAAAGTCCAGTTTATTCCACTTTATTCCAGTGCCCAATGGTATGTGTGAAACCCCGTGACTGAAATACTAGGGGAAAGTATTTGAAATCGTAGCTTAAGAAACATTGAGAATTTTTTGTCATATCAGCTTAGGGACTGGTGCAGAAAATGCCATATTTGGTTAATATCAGCTTCTGCTAAAGTTTGAAAAGCTTCACTCTTCCATGACTTCTCCCTTGTTCCACTTACATAAGAGACACTTTCATTTCAAGTCAGGCACACGTCAGTGCTGTAGATTTTTACTGAAGCAGTCCTAGATGAGGTCAGAGCATGATCCTGGGCCTGCACCCAGGTGTCTTGTGGTTGTACACCCCCTAATGTGATACACCACCTGTCTGTGACCTTTTGCTTGTTTCCCCCATTCATTGTGCAGTGCCGTCTTAGTGTCTCCCCCACCCCACTCTGTCCCCTTCCTCAGGGAAAGCCAGCTTCAGAGCCCAAGGAAATAACCAGCAGCAGCGTGATCCATGACAACCCCAACCTGATTAAACCCATCCCAGTCAAGCCCCTGGAAAGGCACACTCCCAGCCACCAACAGCCCCCCCAGGTACCAATACTATTCCTCCCCCCCGGCGATTCCTTACCACTGTACCAATTTCCGCACCCCTTTTATTCAAGTGCTTAAGGGATGGGCCTTTCTGGTACTCTCTACGTCAGTTTGACCAAAGCTATGCTAGCCGTTTGGTGGGGGCGGATTCCCGGGCAGCTCATTAGTGAGGCAAGATTGCAAACGTCCAGCAGCGGGAATGCTAATAAGCTTAGCATCAGCCCACCTTTTAACTAGGAGGCACCCGTTCACTGAAATCATCCGGCAGGTTCAGGAACCACTGAGGTTTACTGCTGTGCTCAGGAGGTTCCCTAATGCTGAGGGTCCTGAATTTATGCCAGAGTTGCATTTTCAACATGCACACAAATTTCCAGATATTTTATACCCTCTCAATGAAAAATTATGTTACTTTAATAATTTCTTGAACTTGTGTAAAATGTGCTAACCTACAGTATACATAAATGGTGTCCCTTAATGTGTAATGCTCAGTCAAGCAGCCCAAAAGATGGTGGAGTGGGGTGAGTCCTTAATTTCTGTGGGTTTTATTATTGAGAGAAGGTCTGGTTGACAGCTCCTCCCGTGTCTCCTGCCCCACCATTTCCAGGACACTGACACAAAACCCAAACATCATTTACTGGCTGCCCTTTTCGGGGCGCCCTCCAGGCCTGAAGATTTGCCCCCACCAACAACATCAGGACTCTGCGGAGGGCGCCCTCCAGTGGCTCGTTCCCTGTCCTACGAGGAGCCTGGCCAGAAAGGCGGCATTAAGCCGGCGCCATCGACCCCGGCCCAGCCCTGTGCGGCTATTCAGAAGCTGATGGCGACGCAGCGTGGCCCAGGGGAGCTGCTGCAGCCTGTCTCCGAGTCACCAGAAAACCGGCTGTGTGAGAACGGCGGGGCAGGACCTACCCACTGCCGGCCCGCAGACCCCCTGCAGAGACTTTTCCCAGACCCCTCTGCCTCCTGCTGCCCCCATGGAGCCCATGCCCAGCCAGCACCAGTCCTCCACTGCCTCCAGCCACCCCCAGCCCCGGCTCAGCCCCAAACCCAGGCTGACCTTGCCCAGCCACTGTTCTTCAGCCCCGGCAAGCCCTCACAGGTCTCCCCCCACGAGTTGCTGCAGCGTCTTCAGCTGGTGCAGCAGGAGCAGAGTCAGGCTGCCGAGCCCCCCCGACCCCCCCTTGCACCGCGCTTCCAGGAACCGTCCACCTGGGTCGATAGGGCAGCCCCTGCACCCGCCCCTCCTGCCTCCGCACCACCTGTCACTCACAAGCCCAACCCACTTTTCCAGGTAACTTATTTAGTATCTTAGTGCCTTCTTTACCATTCTCTATTAATAAAGATATAATTTTGATTTTCCCATCCAAAGTGGTTCGCTTATCACTGCTCCCCATTCAGTGAAGCAGTTTAGCTTAAAAGCCTAAAGCCATGTTACAGTAAGGGGTCAAGCTACGCTCCTTCACACCTAATACGCAGTGTGCGTTCCTGGAGACTACATCTATCCCACAAGACGTGCATATAAAGACATGTATCTTCGGCCTACTCCAGGTGATCTCCCCCCAGCGTATTCCCGCCACCGTGGCTCCCACCCAGTTGCTGTCGCCCATGGCCTTCTCCCAGACCAAGCCCTCCAAGCCTGTCACTGACCCGTGCCCCCCCTCCACCTCACTGATTCCCTCTCACACTCTGACTCGGAGTCAGCTCCAGGCCACACTTCTGCATCTCATCCAGGTGGGTCTCCAATGCTTTGGATACCCTTTATAAAATAAATATGTATTTAAAAATGTAGCAATGAGGTTGTGTTAGGTTCCCAAGATGCTGACAGGCTATTGGTCAACAGAAGGCTGACTTTCACTTTTTCCCATTTCCAGAATGACGTTGCCTTCCTGGACACCATCTATGAGTCTTATGTTGCCACGGTCACACAAGATACAGCCGCAAAAAACTTCTGAATGGGGGAACTGAGGATGGACACCAATGCCACCATTTGTAGCCACTTTGTTTCAGTAATTTGACCGAAACTTCTTTAGCTGTCCACGTTTAATTTAAAATTTTAAAGTTGCGATTTGATTTTACAGTTCTATTATTATCATGAATAAGCAGCAAGACATTTTATACAAGATGCATGTAACCTGGTCTGCCATTTTAACGTGCTTGTATATAGTGTGTCCCTGCCATAATGAAGTGGTACCCCAGCCTTAAAAAGACTTTCTCATTAACAACAACTAGCCTGGGGCCCCCTGGGGGGTATTCCACAAAGCAGGATTTTTTTTTCATTAGCTAGATAACTTAAGCCAAATGTAAGGATTGTCCAATAAGAATGTTACTTAGCTCTCCTCTTACTGGACGATTTTCACATTTGGCTTTAGTTATCCAGCTACCTGGGATACTTTGTGGAATACCCCCCAGGTCTCTACAGCACACAGGGAAAACACCTCAGATTCAAGCCAACTCTGTTCCAGAAACCTCATTCTGCTTCCTAAGACTCATAAACAATGGAAAATATTTTATTTTACAAAACACAAAATAGATATTTTTCTATTGTGCCGTGATGTGTTCTTCCTAAGCAGGTAAAATCCTATTTTACATTTTTCTGTATAGGGAAAAAAAGCCCATTCTTACAAAATCTTTATCGCTTGAGTCTTATATCCAGAGTTTCAGTTTTACTCATTTATTTTAAATGGATAAATCAATAAATAAATAAAGTGTTTTGTTTTGACCATCTTAAAATGAGTGTATTCAGGTGGGAGGTGGGAACAATATTCTTCTTGAAAAATAACCTTGTTTGAACATGCCTTTAAGTACCATAAATGGTAATAATACAAATTAAAATCACTTGAATGAACTATGTAAAAATAATATGTGATGATAATTCAGTTAATCATTTACTCTATTTAGCTAAAGAAACACCGTCTACAGTCAAGCAGTTTTGAGTTCAGTTTGGTGGGGGTAAAACCCATTTGGATATATAATAGCTGAACATAAATATAGCTTTGGACAACTTGCACGAAGACTACAGCAAACAAATCGGGAAGATTATTTCAGACAAGAGATTTGTTTCTTTGAAACACAAACACCAGTATAGAACACAGTTCCTCACTAGTCTCCTAATATGGAAATCAAGTTGCTTTTTTTAATCAATAGTCAGTGTCAAACTACGGATGAACAAACATTCATCTCCCAAAGTGAAAATCAATTTTATGGAGTCTGTGTAACCACATAACAACAGGAGGCCCAGGTCAATAAGTGGCGGTGTAAAAGCCTTTTAGTGCTATAACGTAATCTGGCGTTTGACTCTGTTAGCGCTGTTTAATTATTAACATTGAAATGCTCCCCTCTCCTGAGGCTGCTCTCATTCTGCTGATTATTAATCATGTGACACTAATGACCCATCACCACAGAGACCACAGGGCCATGGGATAGTACTCACACTCCTTCCATCTTCATTACTGAAAACACTGTTCGGATGAATGAGCTGTAATTTTGAATCACTGTTTCCAAGGGATATTGAAAAACAATTACCCACATATAAATTTTTGTATTTGTTTTTCTGGTATTGGAAGAAAAAAAAAACAAAATTCCCATTAGCTGCATTCCTAAAAAAGGAAAATCTTCATAGGAAATGACAAACAATGGAAAATGGCAGGCAGCTTTGCTCCCTGAGGAGCAGAAGCTGCAGAACTTGCCCCTGCGCTCACAGCAGAGTTGCTCACTGGGCACTGGCACATGCGTTTAGCCAGCAGCTACATGGCTCTTATCAGCTGATCATTCCTGATGGGCACAGGGCCTGCTAGCACCTCACTGACGGTCCTGCTTCAGGTGAGACCGCTGGCCTCACACCTGAAAACAATAGAGGACTAGCCAAAAAGAAGTGCAGAGGGAAATGGCTAGCACCATTTTAAACTATGATGGGAACAGTTATCATTTAGGCTTTGCACTCTCAGAGATCTGAGCAGTTCCAATTAATATATGCTAAATTATACGCTACACTTAAAACTATCTTCATTTATACAAAAGGGCTCATTAGCCATTGCGTGATTCGTGCAGCACAACAGAAGTTTGTTTATATTTCTTCTACCAAGGCCATTTTCCCTTCCTATTTCCAGCACAATCTCCACTGCTATCTCTACACAAAACCCCTCCCAAAAACCTCTTCTCTCCCCACTCTTCTCTCTGTAGATAAGGGAACAGATTTCATTCAGTTCTAGCTCACTGCAGGTAAAACCCCAAAACATCATCAAAACTGTTAGGTTTTGCATCATTGATATGGAACATGAAGTACAGTTACTGCTGCAGAGTCTACCATGTGCAGCATGTTATATAAGCCTAGCCTAAAACATTGACTACTAGGGAAGTACCAATGCGGTACTGTGTTCGGAGACTGAGTCCAAGGAGTGTGCAGTGATTGTCTTTCTGACATAGAAGCATTTACCTGGCTGCAGAGTGACCCTACGAGCCTAAGAGGGACTTTCCTGCCAGACTGTACATGTGACCACCCTATACCAGGCCAGGTCAGCCACAGGCAATCATGAGGAAAAGCAGGAGAATCAGGGTTTACAGAAGCTGAGGGAAGGGGGGTGTTTTGCAGAGGGGGGCTTTGCTACTGTTCGTCTATGAGAACGCAGAAATTTGAGACTTCCTGGCAGCACTAGATTAGGGAAAACTGCAAAACAGGAAGAGGTGTGTACTCTTTCAAGGATTCAGGGACTCTATGCCTTCAATATGTGAATTTGAAAGTTTATATAGTGTTTTCAATCACTATTAAAGAGTATTTCCATTGTTTTTACGTGTTACTTTCTTGCTCTGTCCTGCAATAAATATTCCGTACAGTGACTCTTGCCACTATTTATTCACTGTTCACATTCCCACTGGAAGAATGAAGTGTGGGAATGGTGGTCATGTGTCTGTCGGACGTAGCGAGTCTGGTGCACCACAGGGCAGTTTCTGTGCATGTAGATGTGTGTCTGTGTGTGTGTGAGTGTGTGTATACATACATACATACATACATATATTTATATATATTATATAAAATGTTTGGCATGTGCAAGACGGGAGTTCGCCCTGTAAGGGACCCCACTGCACCTCTCAGTGTGTTTATATAGTAAGCCTCTGAAGCTATTGCTTCCCTCATGCTGATAGGATAGATAGAAGTCTGTCTCCAGAAATCACAATAATCTGCTTTGATATAGCAGTTCCCTCCACCACCTCCCCCCCCCACACACAAACACACACCCCACCCCCATGTCTAACTGCTACTTTCCCCTGCCCCTTTACATGCCCTCTCTCTTTCCCACTGCCTCTCTCTCTCCTACCATTAGTCCCACCTCTGAAAACCCCGGAGAGAAGCAGGCAGAGGGAGGGTTTAATCCAAGTGGATTAGGCTGTAAACTGGGTGATGGAAAAGGCGGTGCAGTGCTGCCGAAGCCCAATGGCTGCTTCCTGCCTCCCTGGGACCGTCTCTCTTAGCTCCAAGACGCGGTGTCCCTCGCTGGACAGGGAATAAACCAGGTCAGCTCGCTCCAAGAAGCTCTTGGGAGTCACACAAGACGAAGACGACAGGGAACCATAGAAACATATACTGGCTTTTTTATACAGCCGTTATTTCATTGTTTTTTTTTTTTTTTTACTTTCACTTGGTTGCACGGTGCTGACCCTTTGTGACACAGCTGGGTTTGCTCCTGCCCCTCATCGGGGACCACGGTGACTCCCTGATCAAGCGTAGAATCTGGAACTGGTTGGCCCATCGGAAGATGACCAGGAGAGGGTGCCAGGCCCAACGGCAGCTGCTGCAGGAGGTGTAAAACGAAGAGACACACCGAGGCTCAGTTTGTCCCAGTCAAGGACGAGGTGTGGAACCTTTGGGCCCGGGGCATGGAGCTTCTGAGATAGCGGGACGGCCATGAGCGATGAACAAGCGCAACGGGACCTCTTTGATTCACTCAGAGTCCATGAATAGCCCCCTGTCCAACCTTATGATCTCTTAGCACTTCTTTACTGAAGCTTTACTTGGACTGAGCTTTGTCCAGCACCCACAGTGCACCGGCACATGTGTTTGTGCACCGACACGCACTGACACGCAACGAGATGCGACGCCCAGGTGGCCCGTACGCAAAGTCGGCGCAGATGGCCCAGCGAATAGCTCTGTGCATTATCTGCTCCAGCTGGCTCTGGTTCCCCACAGAAGCAGAGAAGTTGCTGCTCCCACTGGAGACGTAAGTGGACCGTCGCCATTCCCAGCAAACCTTCGGTCCCTTTCAGTGTGTTGTCAATCTGTAAGACCAGGTGTGCAAAGAAGGTATCTTCTTCTTTGCTAGTTAGCTAGGGTACACATCTGACAGTACACTATGGAAATACGTAATTGAAACAAAAACACAGTTAAGCTTAAAAAAAAACTTAAAACATTATTAGTCTTGAAGAGGGAAGTAAGCTCCAGTGGTGGGAATATACCCTTCCACTGTGCCAGCTGTCTTACCCAAAGTTCTAGAAAGTTCCGAATGTGAACAGTGCAGCGTGAAGGAATAGTAATGATAGTGGGATTGCCTCTGCCTAGGGCAGTTCATTAACATGCCACTTTGTGATGGCTTAGCTTGCAGCTAACCTGGATACCCAGTTCTACTCTGTGAGAGAACACCATCTTTCTCTTTGAACATCCTGGCGTTTAACAGAACAAGTGTGGTGTATTTAATGTGAAAAGAGTTCACCCTTAATGAGGTACAGCTCCTTGCTGTGAAGAATTTAGCAGATAATTTATTAGCTTTGTTGGTCTTATACATTAGCAAAATTCTAGGAAAAAAAATTTGGGATAGTAAAAGAAATTTATCTACTAGATTCAGAAGAACGAAAAATATAAGATTCTTCAAATACCATTAATCAAATCTGGTATCTTTTCATAACCCATTTTAAAGCATGATCCTGTTCTCCTTCCTCCCCCGTTTGAACGTGAAGCCCTCACTTGTCAGGAAAGAAATTAAAAAACAACAAAAGACACTCCTAAAAACGCTGACACAATCCGGAGATTAATTGTGCTCAGGTCTGTGCTTGCAAATGCTGATGCAACCCAGAGATTAACAGCAGTCCTGTTGGCCTTTGCTGGCCCGAAGTCCGATACCCAGCAGATACAGAACAGGGTGACAATGTGAATCTGCAAATGAAGATTTGATTCACTTTCAGTAGAGATATAGTTTTGCTCCTAAAAAAAATTCCCCAGGGATTATGAGGTTAACAATAAACAAAGCAGCAATCAACCCCATGGCAGGGGGTAGAAGAACCCTTCAAAGAATGTGATAGGGGAGCAGCATACCCACTTTGTCCAGCCCACCCAAGTTTTAACCCATGACCTCAAACATTCTGCATTTGGGAACAGAGCCACACAGTTAAAAGTATGGTCTTTGTGGATTTAAAAACCTAATGAGGGACTTAATTTCAGTGTTTTGCCACGTAGAAGAGCTGTATCCATCACATCCAGTTTAAGTAAGCTTCCCACCTAATTCCCCCTAAAGCCGATAAGTGTCTTCAAAGATACAAATGATTCCCACAATTACACAATGCAGTCGTGCTGCTGTTATCACAGTCTCCAGGGGTGCTGTGGTTGGTACCTGACAGCAAATTAGCGGTTTACGTGTGCAACACAAATGCAACGGTCCTTCTGTCGGACCACAGGCAGCCTCTAAGGCCGGGGTTCCCAGGCAGTCAAAGCAGTGCGGTGGTTGACCCTAGATTTCATGGGATCAGTGCGTTACAGGAGTTATGACCCAGGGGCAGATGGCTAGCAGAAACTGCTCTCCACGTCGTTTACCTTCAGACACAGACAAACACTACCGCCTGCTCTGCATAGGTATATTGTCCCCACTGTTCTCTGTATTGTACTTCCTATTACAACAGGACAACTGTTGACTTGAGTTTTCTAGACATAATTAATCATCTTGTATTTTCCCCTGCTATGAACAAAGCTTTCTGACATAAAAATTTATAGTGTTTGCTCTGCAGCCATGTTTATGTCAGATTTTTGCCGCCTGGGGAAGGTGGCTCACGTTTGCTTTGATTTTCATAGGATCTCCTTTTGTGGGTTGCAGAATCTTTGTGTGAAGGTAGGAGGATTTCATCCTTCCTGCCTTCACTTTAGTAAGCCGCCTGATTAATAAGTCTTTAGCACAAAGGCAGCAGATTGATGCTCTGCTGATCCTGAGCCATGGGAGATGGGGTATCCCCACATACTGCTCCTAGGTGGGAGGGCAGGAAGGAAAAAAAAAAGCATCCTGGTCCTTTCCCTATACATCAGCCATCCAAGACCTATTAATCAAGCCATCCTACATACATGCATACACACACATTTACTTACTCAAGGGCCGAATAGTAAAACCACTCTGGGATTTGACCAGGTTACCCATCACAGGTACAGCATTCTAACCCACTGAGTCACACACCTGTCCAGTATTACACCATGGTCCAACCTCAAACCTTACCAGGAATGGGATGAGGGCAAGATGCCTTAGGACAGCCAAACAAAAGCAGTAATCTACCATAACCCCCAGGAACTACTGTACTGCACAACTACATTCAGCTGGGTGATACGGCTGTAAAACAATACTGATATTTTAAGTAAGTATTTCCAATATTTAACAACTAGGTTGTTCAAAAGTTAAATGTATGGAGTCAAATTGCGGCCACATAGCGCTTCAAACAAATGTGTGTACTGTAAACAAAAGCACGTATAAACTGCAAACAAAATTGATGTATTTGGCACTTGTTTTTCTTTATGGCATGTGTGTTGCGCTTTGCAATACATTCCTTTTTTGCTGTATTTTTCTTTGCGTTTCACCATCTCACCTCTTTTTAACACAGTGTGGATGGGCAGGGCTTTGTGGGAGTATCTGTCATTTCCTGATCTGTACCACCTGCCTGATTTGTACTAATACACAGCATTTTTGAGCATGCGTACACTGTGTTACATTTTCTGACACTGCCCATGCATGCATTGTCCACATTTCCAATAAATAAATACAATCAATATAATGATACATTATCAAGTCATTTCATATGTAAAAATATATTGAATATAAGATAAAAAAAAATTTGATATATTGTTCATCCCTAACCTGAAGCACATATCATACATTACAAAAGCTTCCAATGTAACTTAAATAACCATTTTTTTCCTCGTTGTATTCCAGGGTCCAACAGTGGGCAACAGACTTTGGAAATCAGATCTACTCCATAGCAACAAAATACTCTGGAGCTCCTCTACTGCAGAAGGTAAACTGCAAATCCATTCCCTTCAAGTAAACTGCCAAGTCAGGTGGAAAATAAGTGCTGCTGCTCCCAAACCCGACTGCTCATATAGTATTTTAGTAAATGTGTTAGTAATCTATTACCCTGCAGTTGTTTAACTGAACTGAAGCACCCACAGTAGCTATGGCATGAATGGTTGCAGGTTGGGTGACTTGCCAAAGTGTACATCAGCAGTGGTCTGTTTTTCTGATCCTGTCAGAGATGGAAAGGGAGATCCTCAAGGCTTCCTCTGCCTCTGAGGGTATTTCACGTGCCATAAACACATGTGGTGAAACCACTGGTGCAGACTATTTAGAAAGACCCCATGTAAGACTAGTGGTGTAAGGGGCACAGGGGGCATCTTAGAGGTATTCTGTCATACAAGAAGGTATTTCTTACATGGTCAGAGTCCTTTGTGTGTCCAGCTGCCCCCGATAATGCAGAGTAAAAACAATAGGGGTATGCGTGAGGGATGTGAAAGTGACCTGTACATGGGGGTTGCTGGGATAATGATACAAAACACCATGACTGCAATGCACCATATATCCCCTTTCTCTGAACTCTGAAAGCATCACCCATTCCTAAAAGATGGAAACAACCCAGACTAGGAGTTCTGTACATTCCCACAAATAGGATATATATATATTTCTTTTTAAATCAAACAAGAAGTACAGCTTATATTACCCAGTACAAAATATCAGGCTAAAGAGATTATTAAAAAATCCCCAATTATTCAAAGGACGTAAACAGAATATTTGAATAAGACAAACATTGTTTGTAATTATTTCAGTAATAAAATGATGACTCACAATTTACACAGGTCATTAGTGCAAAGTCCTGTCTTAACAGGATATGCATAGTGATTTGAATCACATCTGTCATTCTGCCAGCTGACGTGTCTCCATGGCAACTCTTGGACATCACGCAGACCTGCTTTACGTCTTCCACTCAAACAGCCCAGACACGTCTCTGCTTATGCCAAACCACTGAGTTTTTGGCCAAGCGGGTCCCGATCGTATTTGGCTGTTAATTCAACAGCTCAGAACCATTCATTTCCAGTGACGTTCCCTTAAGGGTTTTATGACTGCGGAAATAGCTGGCATCGACCCTTGATTTCACATGGAAACACATTCATTTTGTGTGCCCTGTGTCAGAGATTGCAGATGAGCTTTTAAAGAGGTAACATCAAAGCCCCATACATCTGACAGCAGCACAAGCAAAGCCTATATACTTATACAGGTCTGCTGATCTATACCGATACACCACACTACAGTGAAACCATAAGGCAAATACCCCACAGTTTCTACCAATAAGAATGAACCTTGTTGATGACATGTAACAGGAATCACAGCTAAACAGAACACATGAAATAAAAACAAGTCTGTTATATTATAAATTATAATTTGTATAATTGGTCAGCTAAATAAATGAATTTAATTTCAGTTACTGAAAATGAGAACTGAGTTCAAACCGTAGTCTTACATATTAAGCATAACCAGAATTTCCTCTGGTTGTGGGCAGTAAATGCATTTCAGCAAGAGCTCAGGCCACAGCTTGTCTGTAGCTGCGAAACACCTTGACCTTCACTATGGCTATTTACAGGATTTAATGGAAAGAACAGAACACCACCCAACAAAGATGGCTGCTGTGCACTTTTTCCAGTGCTTACATAGGTTGTCGTATTTGTGCCTTTATGATTGCTTGGCATAGTTTTCTATGTATACATTATTCATGCAAGTACCTGTTCAGATGGGACTGCTGATGACATCTCTAATCTGAGACAGCAACTTCAGTAAGGCACACGGAGACACAGGGGACAAGGCCACTTGGATGTTTCCAGTGTTTTAACTGAAAAGAAACATGCCATCTTGTTTAATCACTGCCCAAGGCTTTCAATGTTTACTCAATTTTTTGAAAATTTGTGAGTGTTCCTTTTATAGGATTATTGGGTTCTTTAAGCAAAATGACTATGCAGATCACTGTCACTTTAAAATCAAAGCGTTTTATATAAATTGGGAGCATTTTCAACAAGGAAAATTACAGTTTAGTATAAAAGTTCGGAATTGTGATTTCTTGTTATATGTACACACATACTTCCTGTTACTGTACGCGTATATGAAAATAACATGCTTATTTCTTAAAGTGAGCATAACAAATGGATTAAAAGTAACGATCAAGTTTTAAAAGTGTTAGTCGTTTAATTGTTTTTTAATTTATGGCTAAGTAATGTACACAACGTCGCTGTTTTTAGAAGCGATTTTCTCATTCACGGCGTCCTTACCTAATCAAAAACCAGGAGGGAAAAAACAACTACCAAAAAACACATGTAAATTCCTTGTGAAGATTAACAAAAACACTTCCTTCGCCTCTTATTCTATTAAAACAGCGTTCACGATGTGACTACATCTAACAACCACCGTCTCGCACTAGTAACAAAACAACCAATTAAACCTAATAAAATTAAAGGCACCTTTTGATGCCTCAGAAACCCACAACAGCAGCTGTAACCTGTGTATGAAATACCTACCAATTTTATTTTAATAAAATGAACATATTTAAAGTTAAACACGTTTATAGAGATCCACTCATCTTATTAAGTTTTACACGACCTTCTTGTTGATTTAACTAATCGTTATTTAGTGGTTTGGTGGATATGTCTCTAACCAAGAGTAATTTATTTTATAGTATTATGTATTTTAATGTTATATTATACTACATAAAAATATAGAAATTATACTATACGTAATTACTGGTAAGACCAAGTCCAGTTTCTGACACCACAGCCAGATCCTAGCTAACATAGGCGGGCACCAACGTTTGACGGGCGGTGGCGCTACTTGCGCGTGGCGCTAACCGTCCAAATTACGTTGCACGTGTGCTCTGTAGGGTGCGCGCGCAGAACGGATACGGGAAGCGAGGCGTTGGCGCCAACTTCTGAGGGGGCGATACCGATTTCAGTCTTGCGCGCAGCGCTAACCGTCCGAAAAAGAAGCAGAATTGACTCGCGTTCTCTGCAGCGCCTGCGCACAAAACGGATACGCGATGCGGAGCGTTAGCTTCTGAGGGGGCGCCGACTTTCCCGCCAATTTCACCTTGTCTGAAACTGTGCTGTCGTTAGGGGAGTAGTGTCGAGGACGTTGTTAGGTTAGCACAATGTAACCAAAAAAAGAAACATTTTAAGTGAATAGTGAACAACACTGACATTTCAAAATAAGCAAACACTGCTAACACGGCTGTTGAACGATAAAATGTATCTGCGATGGGGCATGGTGCAGGCATGATCCACTGGCTGCTCCAAGACAACAAAAGGGTTTAGGCACCAAACCCAAACTGGGGAAACCACAAACAGAACACAGTGAGTATGACTAGGAAATTAAGCAGAACTACAAACCAATAACACGGTACACACAATGATTGACTTAAGAGCAGGACAAAGGCAAGCACTTAAATACACTGAACACAATGACTAACACGGGGCAGGTGTAGCTATACAGAACCTGGGGAAATGAGGAGCAGGTGAGGACAATCCAATCAATTAATCAAGGCACAGGGCAACAGGTGGCATAAATGACAAACACAGGAACTAGCTAACACCAGGAAGGACCAGGGACACAAGCAAAATGAACCAAAACAGGGAAGTAATGAACTTAAAGGAAAAACAGAAGTCCAATAAACAAAACAAGTCAACCTGGCCTTGAACCCATGACTTCAAGGGTATAGCTTCCATGCTATATACTCAACCCGCTGAGCTATACCACAGTTTAGAGCACTGTACAAACACTAGGTATTTAGACACGCTGGGGCTGAAAGACAAGAAACAGGGAGGAAGACAGGATGGCCAGCAACACCTGCTGGCCAAACGGGGAGGAGACACGAAGGACAGAGTCAGACGGGCGGTGACCCTGACATGAATGTTTTATTTGGAATTAATAACATACACAAGCACGTCGCAATACAATCAAAAAATACTTTTTGGTCTGTATGTTCAGTATAGAAATTAAATTGGGATATTACACAAATTCATATAATATTAATCATTAAATATTATTTCTTCATTTATTTTGGTGTAGGCTGTAGCAGTCAGCCTTTGGGGGCGGGGGGGGAGGAGGGGACAATCAGGCCTATTTTTTGATTAACCTGATTTTATTAGACTCAGTGAGAAAACTCACTCTTGCATATTATAATAGATTTTCTTTCTGTTTCATTTGGAAAGAAGGCTTTATCAGTTAACACCACAATAATGCTTCAGAATCATTTGCTTAGATTAAAGAGTAAGACTGTGGGCTTCAAAATATCAAAATCATAATGTATGCTCAAAAAACACAGAGACAGATGGACTGTACATTTATACAGTGTTCACCTTTGAAATGCTGTATATATCTACAAGGCTTTTGCATCAATTTCTTTTAATATTCACCCCTGTGGAAAAATCATTCTGACTGCAGTCCCTACCCCCCACCATAACTTGTCAGAAATTCAAAGATGTGGAGCCAATTGTGAAGATTGAGGAGGTGGATGGTTCAGAACTGGTGCTGAAGTTTGCAGAGGAGATGGAAAGTATGCTGGGAAGGAAAATGAAATCGGTCAAGGTGAGAGCATTCCATCCACAGCCAGCTTCGTTTCATGAGTCTCTCCTTCAAGTTGCTCCTCTAGCTGTTATAGAAGACGGTTTTGAATACACAAGGTATGAGATGTCTGTCAGGCTTCTCCACATATGTTTTTTGGCATTTTCGGAGTAGGTCACCATCCCCTGCAGTCCCCCTGGACGCATTTCCTCCTCGCAGCCACCAGTGTCTCTGATAGGAGGAAGTGTTGACAGGGCAGCTCTCCGCATACCTTACCTCCCATCTAACCTCCTTGAAACCTCCTTTTACACCAGAATTGCATGCCTGAAACCATGTGAGGAATCCTGCTTTCACAAGCACTTCCCGTGATTTTTGTCAATGTCTTTCTTTTTTCCCATCAGCCACTCTTGTTGACAATGTGACACAAAACAACCCCCCTCCATGTTTCATAATCCACCAAAACAGGAAGGACTGATTGCCATATAAATTATAGTTTTAATAAGGCAAGTTAATTTCAATGTGATATGTGACATGCAGTAAGTCACTAAGTACTACTTGGGTGAAATAAAAACATTCACATGTCAGAGTCTGCAGAATTCTTTTAATAAATATGGTGGTAATTTAAATATATCTGCTCCAGTGTTTCTCATTAAGAACTCGTTATCTGTCCTATCTGCAGACCCTGGCAGAGAATGCTGAGGATGCAGACTTGTACCATGATTATGACGCCTCTCTGAAGGTGAGTCCTCCTGTATTAGGTCTTTTTCTGATGCATCTGTTAAGCAGGTGTCTAATTCAAAGCTGTTTACCTAGGATACAGTTTTACAGACAGTCAGCTATATGATGGACTCTGCAACATGTAGACCATAACCAGTTCCTTAACCAGAGTGTTTCTAACAGGGTTTAAAGCACATAGAATGCAAAAAGAATGGTCAGACAGTGTTACTGATCTCCATTTGTCAACATCTGTTCAGGGGCGTCGCTAGAAATTCTGGGGCTCCTGACAAAATATCATACTAGGCCCGCCTGTCCAATTTTACATCTAATTTTACATACTCAAGGGCCCCTATAAAGTGCTGGGCCCCTGAATTTGCTAGGGAATCCATACCCCTCTGACAGCCCTGCATCTGTTACAATTTTTACCACTGCAGCTGTGCTTGTACTTGGAAGTCAACAATAACTAACTCTTTGAATTGTTTTCTGCCATTGTAGTTAAAAATACCAACCCTTACTTTACTCCAAAACCTTTTCTCCGTGTCAGATTGACTACTACAACTCGGTGTTGGTGAACACAAAGGATGAGGATGGGAAGTATGTGGAGCTTGGTGGGGAGTTCATCCTGGAGGAGAATGAACACTTCAACAACCTCCCTGTCAACACCTCCCTCAGTAGCGTGCAAGTCCCTACCAACGTCTACAATAAGGGTGCGGAAGCTGTGAAAGGCTGCAGACAGCAGCCGGCTAATGGTCTCGAGTTTTAGTGAGAAGGTGTCTGAGAAATTTAGTTTATACAGGAGCAGACAAGATTGACTAAAGTAATCTGTACGAAATCCATTTATGGAGTTAAAAAGAACCAGTTTATATTCTCATTCATCATTCTCTTCCTTTAAATAATACCCTGAGTCAATTCGTCCCTGTGGGATTGAGCTTTGTGCTATTACTTGTTATGAAAAGCACTAAAGCTATCGAAAATGTATCACATATTTCACCTAAATCATCTGATTTGAAATGAGATTTTATCTCCTGAGGTGTAGTGTACCAATGGGTGTGATCCTGTGGGAACGTCCAGCTAAAATGGGCTTTGATAAGTGTAGCTTTTCCTAGAATTCACCTTATAAGGGTGGTTTTGCCCTCTTGGTATCCCTGTCACGTTTGCCTTGGCGTATGTGAATAGAAACCTGTTATCCATTAGAATACAGGTTTGTATCCTAACTGAATAAATATGTGGTCTACCACAGTGTTACTGTTTATCTTACTCTAGGCTGAAGAACTGCTTTTTCACAGCCTCAGGAAGACCTCAGCATTTCTTCCTTTTGCTGACTTATTCCTTGTTCGCTTTCTCTTTCCCCTGATCCCGCCAATCATCAAACATTGCCTGCCCACTCCCGAACCCTCATCACCAACAGATCCGGACATTCTCAATGGGGTTTACATGTCAGAGGCACTGAATGAGATCTTCATTAATAACTTCAAAAAGGACCCCACCCTCACCTGGCAGTTCTTTGGCAGCTCCACAGGTTTCTTCAGAATCTACCCAGGTACATTGGAGCCACATATATTGCAAGGGGTGCTAACATATGACCTGGAAGAGTTCTCATATCAATGGTGAGAGTAGCAGTCAGAATTTCCACCTATGGGCTAGAATGCTCAGTTAAGGTTTGCGACAGGTACAGTTGCCTGAGCTGCGAAACAGGGTCGCTGGGCCAGCAGTCTCATTGAGGCTGAGATGGGTGTGAAGTTCGCTGACAGAGATGGAGCTGCGGGATAATTAGCAGTAAAGAATGACTCAGCTTGGCCTGCATTGACTTGTGGACGGTCCATCAGCAATACAGCCATGTGGTCTGCTGAGCGGGGTCCAGGGTGCTGAGAGTTAATTGGGTGTGTAGTCAGGACCTGTCAGCACACCAAAGGGAAGGGAGGGGAAATGTGTCCCTGGGGTACTTGACTTCTGCATAGTCCTGCATTTACATGGTTCCCAACCAGCACCTCTTGAGTCAGCACCATGAGTTTAAGACCAAAAAGGTGATATGCATGGAATAAGGGAATCAATGGACAGAAGAAACTTCTTCATGTTTATGCAGTTGATTGTTTTTTTAAGGTATCAAATGGACCCCAGATGCAAATGGAGTCATCGCTTTCGACTGCAGGAATCGGAACTGGTGAGCCTTTATTTTTAGAGTTGCTTATCATTAGATATATTTACTGTTTCTCTGTGTGTGTGGCAAGGCCAGTCAGGTGACCTCTTTTTCTGTTCTACATGGGACATCTCTCAGTGGGGTGAATGTGATTGATAACTCCATATAACAGTTGAAATACATTAGACAAGCAACCATCCTAAGAAGGTACAGTATGTCACCACATAAGCGAAGCAGGCCCCAGGTGACCTTATGCACATGGATGCCACTCAGGTACCACAAACAGTAATGCCTGATATAGGACAAGTTTTGGGCTAAGTCTTCAGAGGCTGGCCATTCATTAGCATGTGGTAAGAATGACTATGAAAATCAGCCTGGGATTCACTGGTGAAGTTTGATGGGCAAAAAGAAACCACATCATGCTTACCCTTTGTGTTAATGCACATATCTGATATACACGTAACCTATTATTTTGTCTGCCTATTCACTGGGCCTTGACGGTAAAGCACTGCGTTCAAACAACTTACCAAAACAAACAACTGCTAAATCCATGCATAATAACCTCTGTTAGCTAGGTAAAACACTTAAGACGTAGTTTACCTAATGTAAGAAAATCATTTCTTTTCTCAACTGGCATAGACTAGGGGGGTACTGCCCCCCCACCCCCAATCCACCCTCGCTGGGATTCCACAAGCAGGGTGTCATTTGACCGTTAAATATATAAATTTAGCAGCCAGCTATTTTAGGCATATAGCACTAAAGAGTGTACTTGTCTTCTAAGCTAACATAAAAATGTCAACATGATTATGCTGCACTGGATTCACAGAACAGAGCACAATCGTGGCTGATAGGAGCTCTTTTTCTGCCAACACTACTTGACAGGACCCAGGACACACATAGACATCCACGCTATCAAGCGTATGACCAAGGGTTTTTCAATGAAAATACTGTAAAGGGGATGTCATCTCATCTAATCGACAAATGGAGTTTTATTGCTCCAACTTCAGCAGCGAAATATGCTGGACCATCACGCTAACAGCGACCATGGTGCATGCATCAACACATAAATCTCCCTCTCCCGTAGGTACATCCAAGCTGCGACATCACCAAAGGACCTCGTGATTGTCGTGGACATCAGCGGCAGTATGAAGGGTCTTCGTCTGACGATTGCCAAACACACCATCAACACCATCCTAGACACTCTGGGGGAGAATGATTTCGTCAACATCATCGCCGTGAGTGAAAACAAGCGAAAACATTTCTAATTACGTTAAACTACATTTCGTGATTCTCCTGCAGCATGTTGTCTCTCTCCAGTACAGCGATTACGTTCATTATGTGGAGCCCTGCTTCGAAGGCACGCTGGTGCAGGCCGATCTGGACAATCGTGAGGTAATGCAATAATCTAATTCATTTAAGCTCGGAATGACTAAGCTTCAAAACCCACGCTGCACAAAATGACGTCCATGAAGTAGGAATCGTGTGGTAATTATGCACAGTGGAGGGAGAGGATATGGTTTATTTAGTCTGATCCCAACTCTCTGGGCACATGCACCACTGTGTGTGTGTGTGTGTGTGTGTGTGTGTGTGTGTGTGGGTGTGTGTGTGTGTGTGCTTTGTACTCCGTCATGCAGAGGCACTTGTGTGCCTGCTTGCTTAGTCCCATGGCCTACTTTCCATGTGCTATGCCGTCAGAGAGCAGGTGGGGTCAACCTTCCAGGATGGCTTTGTGGTCACATGATCTCTGGTTACCACAAATTGTGGAGGATTTCGCGTGGGGGGGGGGGTGGTTGGATACTCAGCCTGCTTTCAACAATGCCTTTGATGAGGTAAAGAACCTCTTTTTAACATTTATACCATAGGATATATAGCAGCCGATGCTATCAATGTTCCTTAATTACTCCAAGCTGAGGGCGTCCTTAGAAATTCTGAACCCCCTGACAAAAATTCACCTTGCCCCCCCGTCGAATTTTATGTATTATAATTCTACGTATACAAGGGCCACTGTCAAGTGCTGCCCCCCCCCCTGAATCTGCCAGGGCAGCCATACCTCTCGAACATCTTTGCTCCAAGCTGTAGGTCTGGGTAGGTGCTGGCTGCTGGCTTCAGCTGTGAGCTGTGTGTTCAGACTGTAGTTCATGTTTCACATATAGCCACAAATGGCACATGATTGAAGACGGTTAAAGAGGATATTCGTTAGTTATAGAGGATGTTAGTTAGATATTAATTAAAGATATTAATGGAACACTGCGAATGAAAACTATCTATATGATGATCATGAAGATGACATTTATGAAGTGAATGAGAAAGATCTGCCCTGCACTGTGTACACTCTGGGCTCTGTGTGGGGCTTTGCTCTGCTCATTGTTGTACTCTATGTATCTCAGCACTTCAAGATGCTGGTGGAGGAACTACATGCCAAGGGGGAGGGGAAGGTGAACAAGGCCATGAAGGAGTCTTTCCGCATCCTCAGCGAGGTCTGCGTCATGGCCAGCTCTACATAAAAGTACTCAGCTTTCAGTCAGCTGGCAGTGACGTGCTTTTCTGTTACATGTGGTCGTCTACTGTGGCTGCTGTGATGTCATCTCCAGGCGACAGCCAATGGGCAGGGCAGCCTGTGCAACCAGGCCATCATGCTCATCACTGATGGAGCCATGGAAGATTTCCAGCAGGTGTTTGAGGACTACAACTGGCCAGAGAAAAGGGTATGGTGCTCCTGTAACTCAACAAGTAGTGCATTGTGCTAACTCCGTAAGAACACACATGAATTGTAACTCTTCCCACTATTGTAAGTTGCTTTGGATACAAGTGTCTGATAAATAAATTTAAGGTTGTCCTCACCCACACGCCACTTTGATAGCCCAGAGAAAGCAGTAGCATCCACATGAGACAGTATCACATTCATTGATTGTGAGGATTCTAGTCAAGTCTTGTTGTCCACTAAGGAAGAGATCGGGGAGCTACTTCACAAAGCAGGATTTTCTTTCTCAAGTTGGATAACTTGTCAGATTTGAGATAGTCTGGACTAAACAGACTTCATCTTCGTTCGCTTACATTTAGCCCAGACTACCTTAAATCTGACAAGTTATCCAGCTAAGCAAGAAATCCTGCTTTGTGAAACAGGCCCTAGAAAGTGACCATTAGTGTTATCCAAATACTGATACACTTATTGAAATGGATGGAATTGCCTCCTTGTCCTTGCTGAACGTGCCATTCAGTAACCTGTGGTCTGTGCCATGTCTGCAGGTCCGCGTCTTCACCTACCTCATTGGCCGAGAGATGACCTTTGCAGATACTGTTAAGTGGATTGCCTGCAACAACAAAGGTGGGCCTTGCTGTGCAATCTGGATTGGAACCTATTTCAAACATGTGCTTCTCAAATGTATTCCAGTTAGCAACCTACTGAACCAGAAAATGAAAATCATAGAAGAGACCTACTTGTTTAGGAACACAGTTTTATCTGACAAAAGGAGTTTGGCTTTATATGTTGCACACTTAGAAACAAAATAGGTGTGCTAGATGTGTTCATCTCTGTAAAGTGATCTTTGTCTTGTCTGTCCTTATAAAGAGCATATATTTTTGTCTCTTTGCTTTCTCCTGTTTTCATTTGTCTGAAAATTCCTGGGTTTGTATACTTGCACAAAAATACATTATTTATAAGTTCTAATATATTAAGCCCAATTATCTGAGATTATAGTACAATGGATGGCACTTGGGAATGGAAAAGTAGATCTAAATGACATTATTTCAGGTGCAGTAATCTGGAGATATGTGCTGCCCTCTAGTGGATATTTGAGTCACAACAGTTTCATTTCAATCCCCTAGACCAGGGGTGTCAAACTCCAGTCCTGGGGGGCCAGAGCCCTGTGTAGCTTAGCTCTTTCCACCACAAATTATTTAGCTTATGAGCTCTGTGGTAATTAACACAAGGAGTTGAATCAGGTGTGTTAAATGAAGGTAAACCAAAAACTGTGCAGGGCTCCGGCCCTCCAGGACTGGAGTTTGACACCCCTGCCCTAGAGCATGGATGGGCAATCTTATCCACAAAGGGCCGGTGTGTGCGCAGGTTTTTGGAATAACCTTTAGGTCAGCTGTTCAAACCCAGGTGTGAGGACTCTTCAGCCAATCAGTCCTCTAATTAGTAATCTATTTAGGGAGTTGCAGCAAAAAACCCGCATACACAGCGGCCCTAGAGGTTTGTTTTGTTAGACTACAGGCTTGTCTAATGTTATATCAACTCATTAATCAGGTAACATCATACACTGGATAGTCTAATAATAAAAAAAAGTCAGTGTTATGTGATTTTGATTATGTATGACATTTTGATGCGCAGGTGTGTGATATCGGCAGTTGTGAATCTCACTTGCACTGCCTTGCTCCACAGGTTATTACACTCACATCTCGACACTAGCCGACGTACAAGAAAATGTCATGGAGTATCTGCATGTTCTAAGCCGACCAATGGTCATTAACCACGACCATGACATCATCTGGACTGAGGCCTACATGGACAGTGTGGTGAGCACGGCATCTTCAGGCACACACATTTTTCAGGGGTCTAACAGTCTATAAGTCAGCTCCTCCATTAGAGAGCTACATCCCAAATATCAGGCTCTCCCTGTTATAAAAGGATACCAGTGGCACACGTGTTAGTCCTGCTCTGGGCAGAAGGAGTATCCACAAGAATACCATTTCATGCCAGTCATTTCCTATCCAGCACAAGTTTTCTTGCTGCCGTTTGATGGTAGTCATTCTTTTGTCATCGTTATTATGTCACACTTGTCCGGTGTCATCTCACATGTGAATTGCTTATTCGATATCTGTGCCATCGCCAAAAGGCTGTCTCGTCTTCTCATGTTCATACATCGCTCATCTGCTGTTTTCGTCCCACGCCCGTGCCTGCTCACTCCCAATCCTGTCGCCCATCTGACCTGACACTCACCACGACAAGCTCCCAAACACAGCAGAGGTAAACTCACTCCTGGTCTAATGGGGTCGCTCTGTAAGGTTCGCAGTGCTGTCACATCTCCCCCTTATTGTGGGGTGTATAGTTCATGATGGTATGTGTATGTTTGCGTAGAAGGCAAGTTCAAACACTCAGTTAATCTCATGTCGCAGCTTCAAATTTCAAAACGTTAGTTAATTATCTTAAATCTGTGTATTGTTATGATTCAAAGGAAAAGTCAATTTTACATTTACGTTTATACTTTTGTCCAAAGCAATATACATTTACCGAGACATTACCGAGTTACAACTACAAATCAATCATAACTTATTAATAACTTAATTTTGGTCCCATTCACAATTGGCAAGTGAGGCAGTAAGACTTTCATCGTAATCTAGATTCCCCGCTAAGATTTCCATTTTTCTGTCATTGGTCACTCTCAGGCCTTGCTGTTAGATACCTTTCTCCGATGTGAACCAAACGCTTTCTGCTAAGGCAGTTGTCCATAGCTCAGTGTGCAGGAGCATGTCTGTTGATAAAAAAGAGATGCACAAAAGTTCTGCTTCTAACAGTTCGGATAGTGATGAGGATCCTAACAATGCTCCATCCCACAGCTATTCAACACACAGGCCCAGAGCCTGCTGCTCATGACCACCGTCGCCATGCCTGTCTTCAGCAAGAAGAATGAAACGGTGAGCGATCCCCCGCTGAGTCAAGTCCCTAGACTGATATTCTGCTTCTACGTTTCATTATTTCCTTGTGGGAAGCCCACAACTTAACATTCACATATTTGTATAACCGGGCATTTTGATGGAGAACATTGAGGTTGTACGCTGTGTTCAGTGGTGCAGAGAAGGCTGGGTACTTTATGGTTACTGTCTACCACTCTTCCTGCCTGTTTTCATGGGAGGGGGGGATTCAGTTAAGGTTTATTTTCTCTCTGTGGGCAGCGTTCCCACGGCATTCTCTTGGGCGTGGCCGGCTCTGATGTGCCCCTGAGGGAGCTAATGAAATTGGCCCCAAGATATAAGGTACTGTGGATGGCTTTCGACAGCTATCATGCAGAGGTGGTTAGTTCAGGTCCAGAAAGTAAAAATCCAGACCAAGATTTTGTTTCTACCAACCAGTTGAGCATAAAGCATCACAATCAGAGTTCTGAACTGGTTTGTTGAAACTAAATCTTTGTCTGGATTTTTTCATTTCTTTCTGAATTATCTACCTTTGCTATCTTGACATGTAAATATTTTTCTACTTGCCACAGCAAATAGGATTTCCTGGTTCCTGTGGTCTCTGTTTTCCGATTGTTTCAACCATCTGTCTGTAGATAGACCATGATTGTACTTTGGAGGTCCATCTTGTCTGTCTCTTTCCCAGCTTGGAGTGCATGGCTACGCCTTCCTGAGCACCAACAACGGCTACATTCTCTCGCACCCTGACCTTCGACCCTTGGTATGACCACATTTCAATAAATTCCCAATTACAGAATTAAAAATAAATCTGAAAAAAACATGGTTAACTTTAGGTGATTCTTGAGAAACAAATGATGTTGTACATTATGTACTTACGGTTTCTTCCAAATGTAAAAGATAGACAATATTTCAAAGTCAATTAGGGCTCTCTGTTACATGTACAGGTGAAATTTGTTTGGCCTTTCTGCTGTGGTAATAATTATTTGATAGCAAAGGTGGAATTTGCAGGTCCAGAAAGTAAAATTCTAGACCAAGATTTTGCTTCAACAAATAGTTGAGTATAAATAGTCACAGTCACAGAGTACTCAACTGGTTGGATGAATCTAAATCTTGGTCAGGATTTTTACTTTCTGAACCTGAAATTTCCACCTCTGCTTGATAGAAGCTTTTTATAGCTTGACAGAAAAAGAAACCAGCCACACATGTTTTGGGGAGAAAATGTCTGCTTCATCATCACCTCCTCCAGTACAGGCAAAGTGTTTATAACATTGTTCCCATGTCACACCCCTGTGGTCCTGCAGTATAAGGAGGGAAAGAAGCTCAAGCCAAAACCTAACTACAACAGCGTGGATCTGTCTGAGGTGGAGTGGGAGGACACAGAGGAAACGGTGAGTCAGGGGACACTGTAGGACACAGAGCGTCACCGGCACAAACACTCACTCACAAACAGCTACACACACACATACTCACAAATGGATGAAGGTCATTTCATTAGATCTAGTCTAGTTTGGGGATCACATTAATAATATAAACATGAACACCCTTAGCAAGGTGCAGCATCTGGTATCCAGTATTTCTACGAAATATTGTGTTTGTACACAGAAGCATTAAGGTAGAGACATTGGGCCTGTATCACAAAGGATGATTTTTGGGTTAGTAAGATAACTGGGTCAAATGTATGTGAACAAAGATTAAGTCCATTTAAGCTGGGGTACCTTAAATCTGAGATGTTATCAGGCTAAGCAAGAAATATGGCTTTGTGATACAGGCCCCAGATTCTGGGAGGGAGAAATTATGATGCCTCTCTCTTAAAATCTCATTATTGTGATCAACACATACATATTTGTTTGTCGTGTGGGTGTTGATGTTTTTTGCATGTGTTTTGGCACAAATGCGTGTTGACATTCCAGCTGAGGACAGCCATGGTGAAAGGCCAAACCGGCTCTCTGTCCCTGGATGTGAAAGCTGCTGTGGAGAAGGGGGTGAGTGTCTGTGCCCTGGAGCTGCCCACCTCCTCCCTGTCAGTGCCGCCTGCCTGCCATCGGGCAGCATCAGCTATAGAGTCCTGATTGAGGCACCTGGCATGGAGCATCAGTGCCTCATTCAGATAGAAATGACATAAAATCTCTGACAGAAGCTTTTCAATCCCTAAACCAGACTGCAGAAATCCAAAATACACACAGCCACATTGTCCCCCTCTTTCTTCTAACAGACAAGGGTCCTGTTCCTGACAAATGACTATTTCTACACAACCATCAATGAAACGCCATTCAGGTATGAGATCGTCAGGTCCAGCGGTGGAGATGTACACCCACGAATCATTAGCTCATCCTGAAATATGAAGCCGTCGTACTGGGAATTCCAGCCAGACGGTCCGTTTGCTGACAGCATGTGGACAGACTCTGTGCTCCAATCGCACAGCCTTGCACTAACAATCTGCTGACTTGCGTTGCTGTTCATTCCCTTCAAAGCCTGGGCATAGTCCTGACCCAAGGCCACGGGGAGTACATCTTCCAGGGGAACGTGTCCATAGAGGAAGGTACGTGTCTACTCCCACACTTTCTGCTGAAGCCAGGTGATGTTGCCATCTATTTATGAATGAACTGAGGACTAGAACACCACACATCAAGACAACCTACATTCCTGACTATATGTTCCTTATGCATGCTTCATTCTTTATTCTCCTATGGTGGCCACTGTACTTCATCCTCACACAAGGATAGTGGCCTCTTCTTAAACCACAGACTACATCAATTGCATTGCATAAAAGTCGCATGAAAAAATGATGGATGCTTGTTTGGGTACAGTGATGATTTCATTTAAAATCAATATAACCATCAATCACTGTATAAACCGCATATTTCAAAATAATGCAGCAGTACTTTAAGTTTAATGTAAGAGGCTGGCCAACACACAGTACAGCTGAGACCTTCAGATTTACACAGGGGTATTAGGACGACAAATAAGCGAATGAAATTGCTACATGGCTTCTGTCAACCAGTGATACCACATTAATGCTACATTGGCAGAGAATTCACCTGCCAACCTTTGTTTTAGTTTAGCTTTGACTCTGTCACTTGATTGTCTCCTTCCAATTCCCAAAGGCCTCCATGACCTGATGCAACCAGATGTCACCCTAGCTGATGAATGGTAAGCTGGTCATCACTATTCATTTGCTCATCCAAGATGGGTCCCCAAAGACGTTATCAAATACACAGATGGACCAAAACATTATGACTACTCCCACGTGAAGCAGATAAGGTTGACCAACTTGTAAAAACAGTGCACATCAAAGTATGAGATAGATAGCAAGGTAACATTCAGTACTCATAAGCGACATGTTGAACAGAGAAGAAATGGGCAGGACTAAAGATCTAAGTGACTTTGACAAGGGCCAAATCATTATGGTCAAATGACTGGGTCAGAGCATCTCTGAAACGACAAGGCTTGTGGGGGGCTCACAGTCAGCTGTGGTGAGTACCTAATGAATGTGGTCTGAGGAGGGAATAACCACAGACTGTTGACAGGGTGTTGGCCAAGCAAAGACTCATTGATGCAAGATGTGCATGAAGGCTATCCTATCTGGAACAAACCAACAGAAGGGCTACTGTAATTCAACTGGCAGATAATTTTGATGATCATCATGAGAGTAATGTGTCACGACATACATTGCACCAAGCCCTGCTGCGTACTGTACAGTATGTTGGTCCAACACATCCTACAGATGCTTGCCACATACTTGTACATGATGCAACAGAAAACAAGATTCATTGCAGGCACTTTTAATGGTAGACAGGGGTTAAATAAAACAAGGGTATGTATTCCATTGCCAGTAAATGTTTGATCAGATTGTATTATGCCAGAAAGTCATTTGCTTGCGTTTTATTTTATTCATCATATGGGGATAAAGCTTATCACCTGTGTCTTCTGTAGGACCTACTGTGAGACAGACATAGACCCACAACACCGCAAGTACTCCCAGCTACAAGCCGTCATCCGCTACCTGACCGGCAAGGAGCCTGAACTGGAATGTGAGCCGACCAGCCGCGCTTCTCGCCCGTGACCCTACAGGCCAGCTGCACTGAACATCACAAAATACTGTCAATTGAAGGGTTTAACAGACGTGACTGTATTCCTAGGCGATGAAGAACTGTTACAGGAAGTCCTTTTTGATGCCGTGGTAACCGCACCTTTGGAAGCTTATTGGACAGCACTACTACTCAACGAGTCTGGGTAATTTTGCAACTATTGTGCTTTTGTGTAATGCTTTTGAAAAATGAACTAGGTCTGTTTTGTCATGGTCCACTCCTCCTCCCCTAACTTAGAATGGATGAAGGCTTAGAGACAGCATTCCTGGGCACGCGAGCTGGACTCATGCGCGTCACCAGATACATTAGCGCTGAGGACAGAGTTGCAAAGTGAGTAATGTTACATTACACTCGTAATGTAGGTTCACTAATGGGACCTTTGGTCATATATTCAGTTCCTTAAACTCGCACACTACTGCCCTAAATCTGATTTGTTGATCTGTACCAGGTGGTGTTCAAGATTGGTTCTCAAGAGCCATCAGGCTTTCAAAAACACTTAATCTCCCCCTAATTAATAGCAAATACTCAAATAAGAACTTACTACACACATTACTTCATAAAGCAACCACAAGCTGAACAAAAAAATGTACAGGCAGCTCTGACTGCTACAGTGTGAGATGTGACCATGCTGGGTATAAACGCACGTGGTACCAACGATCAAAAATAAACAACATAAACACATTCGGGTCAAAAAAGAGGCTAATCTAATCTGGCAAAGCAGGATAAATGAAACAACGCAACATAAAAACAGACAAAATAAGAGATAGCCAATGGGAATAATCCTTTTTTTTTACCCTTTTGAAGAACACTGACTCTTTCCACAGTACCCAGTTGAGTATTTTTACTTAAAGTTTGCACATTTGTTTTGTGAGCAGTGCAGTAAACTTAGAGTCTCTGCAGCTTACTTACAATCATGCTGCACATTCCCACATCTATCTTCTGTCTCTTTCTTCTCCAAGTGAGTCAGCTTGCTGTCCTGTCATTCCTGATTGCCAGCTGAGTGAGTCCCATCTGGGCTGCGTTTGCCTGCTCCCTATGGGGCTACTAATTACTTTCTCAGAAGTGAACATGTAGTGAAATCTAACCCTATATGGTCAATGGGGCCCTCAGCAGCCCATAAACCTTAGACCATAAACCCCGGACACTGACTCACTGAGCCATAGCGGGGACTCTAAAGAGAACGGCCTACAAGTAGATTTGCGGTTAAATTAAAGCCATATTAGGCACTTTGGATAAGTAGCAGATAATTATACTTATATAATAATAATCAGACACTGTCCCAAGGCACTGTGATCTTACAGTAGCTCTGGTTTTTTAACCAATATTCCAACCAACATTCCGGCAATGTGTAACTAGTGCATCACATTAAATATGAGTAACAACTACTTACATTAGTCTTAATAATATCACTCATAATAAGACACTGTGTCACTTATTAATGTGCTGATCAATTCATATTTCTAAATGAAGTCTGCATTAACCACCAACCATTAATGCCTCCACCCACAATGAAGCAGAGGCCCTCCTGTGAAGCATGGAGGGTCCTGCATTAACCTCCACCCATTAATGCCTCCACCCACAATGAAGCAGGGGCCCTCCTGTGAAGCATGGAGGGTCCTGCATTAACCTCCACCCATTAATGCCTCCACCCACAATGGAGCAGGGGCCCTCCTGTGAAGCATGTAGGGTCCTGCATTAACATCCACCCATTAATGCCTCCACCCACAATGAAGCAGATGCCCTCCTGTGAAGCATGGAGGGTCCTGCATTAACCTCCACCCATTAATGCCTCAACCCACAATCGAGCAGGGGCCCTCCTGTGAAGCATGTAGGGTCCTGCATTAACCTCCATCCATTAATGCCTCCACCCACAATGAAGCAGAGGCCCTCCTGTGAAGCATGTAGGGTCCTGCATTAACCTCCATCCATTAATGCCTCCACCCACAATGGAGCAGAGGCCCTCCTGTGAAGCATGGAGGGTCCTGCATTAACATCCACCCATTAATGCCTCCACCCACAATGGAGCAGGGGCCCTCCTGTGAAGCATGGAGGGTCCTGCATTAACCTCCATCCATTAATGCCTCCACCCACAATGGAGCAGGGGCCCTCCTGTGAAGCATGTAGGGTCCTGCATTAACCTCCATCCATTAATGCCTCCACCCACAATGAAGCAGGGGCCCTCCTGTGAAGCATGGAGAATCCTCTCTTGTTTTTAAAAATGTGGACAAACGATAAAATATAATCAAACTGCCGCTAAAGGCTCTACCCCTAGAGGAAGCTCCCCTCCCTGGCAGCTTTGAACTCGCTCAGCAAGTCTTTAATTAATTCCATGACTGTAGCACACATCAGAGTGTAAACCTGCGATCCCTGAGCTTCCTGGATCAGTCAGGGTTTCAGTTTATTCATGGCCCAAGATGGAGGCCTGAAATTATTATGCATCATCCACTAATGTTCTGTTAAAAAATAAAACAAAAAAGTCATTAAATGCTTGCAATTCATTTTATTTTAGCACTAAAGACAAAACTTCTACTATATACAGTACTGTGCAAAAGTCTTATGCACTTATAAGTCTTACGTTTAAATGATCTTCATGTTGGTGTAAAACTGTGATATTATGCCTGTCAAAACCTTTCCTAAAATCACCCCAGTATTTGCAGCAATCACCCATACATTCATGCATTTTTTTCTCTTGACCACTAGCATATAACTAATCAATATCTCATCGAGTTTTATAACTAATTAAATTCAGTAAACTGTGTCCTCCCCCACCCCAATTTATGGTCCACACCTCTCTTTGGTTCCCACAATTCCCTGTCTCTGCAGGAAGTTCCTCACCACCTCAGATAAGGAGAGTATCTTCACCATGGATCACTTCCCCCTGTGGTACCGGCGAGCCGCAGAACATCCCCCGGGCAGCTTCCTGTACTACATTCCCAAGGAGGACACTCGAGGTACTGCCTTAGTCGCCATGGCAACAGCCGCAGTCTTCCTGTGCTGTGTATCATGGCAGGACAGCAAGCTATATTCTGTACTGTTTCAGCCCATAATATTATTTGGTGAACTGCATTGGCTGCTTCGGTAATAGCAAAGGCAAGCTCAGCGTACAGATGCTGTAATACGAATTGCTTCATTCACCTAAAAGCTGAGGTTTAGAAATGCCACAATTTTCACTGCATACTGAGCATTCCTGACCATTATGTTAACACATTGGGACCTGCTCTTCTCAGATGTTTTCAGGGACTATGAGTATGACTATAGCACCTCCCCCAAGCTGGAGGACCTTGAGCAGGAGTACCAAGACGGTATTTACAGAGCCTGCATACTGTCTATAGCATGTTTCCATATGGAGCCATGCTCTTTGGGTCATCACTGCATGTGCTCTCATAACTCTACTGCATGGATCAGCAGCTAAGCACCAAAGCTCCTTACAGAGTAGCTGCTCTTTTGCCTGCTGATTGGATCCATATTATGTAGGGAATACACAGCATGCTCAGGTGTGTCTTGAAGAAAGAGTGACCATTGTGGCTGTCATCGTACTTGCCTTTGTTTGAATTCAGTGGGATGTTCCTCTTTGGTGGCCTGTTGGACACTGTGGCTTTAGTGGGCTGGTCACTTTGGTTTGCCCTCAAGCAGTGCAATGATCCTGAAAAGGTTAGTTTAGCAGACAGCCTCTGGGGAATCTGGGCAGGGCTGCGGGACAGAGACGCCACCTGACAGCACAGCGACTCGATGCCCGCCATTGTATCGATCACGCCGTCTCGCGCTTCCCACAGCTCGGCGAAAAGTGATACGTTCAGCACATTTTAGAATCGGTTTCCCAGAGCATGGGAGGCGTGCCTGATTCACATTAGAACTTTCTCGTAATTAGCAGCATCGTTTCTGACTCCCAAGGGTTCCGGGAAACAGCAGTCATTACAGTAATCAACAGTGAAAGGACACGTCCCGACTCACATTATTATATTCCAACAGACTAATTAAAAGGTCACTGAAGTTCTTGACATGAGCTTAAAGCGAAGAATTTGTTAGGCACCTCAGGACTCTTGCAAAACACTTGACAGGTAACATCTGTTGAGTGATATTCATACTTGTGCTCCTGGATTTGAATGAATTAAGTGCTGAATGAGGAATTCTCAGTGACTGGTGTATGATTCCTAGCTCCGACACAAACTTCAGAGGGTGGCATGTGAACTGCATATCGACCAGATGCATGTGGATTATGCCACGAGTCAAGCAGCTGCTGATTTACGTCTTCTTCTGACAGATGAGAACGTGGTTGTCGCCAGCACCGCTGTGACCATGACCGTCAACAAGAAGATGGCCATTGCTGCAGGTAAGACATCCAGTGGCACTGGTTCTGTTTGCTGCACTGAGAGAGATGGGGCCTGAAACTGTTGTTGGCCATCTTGTGAGGCTGCTGTTGTCATGTTGTTGCTGAGCGGGGCAGGTGAGGTGTGTGTGTGGTCACGTGACATGATGTGATGGTCCATGCTGACAGTATCGTTTGACTCTGCTGATCATCAAAAGTTGGATGGTGCCTTGTTTCAACTGACCACTGCACTTACGAGAAGCTCAAGGGCAGTCCAGGAAAGCAACATATTTAAATGATCTTATTGTTTAAATGTCATTTAAAAGTCCCATCATTTAAATTTGTGGCTCACTGTCAAAATTTAATTGCAACAGATCCGAGTGAAAAGTACAACAGGACCACATATAGTTGTACATAATTAGACGTTCAATAATTTAAAGGTCGACTATATGATTTGGGTTTGTGGATGGTTTATCTGCCTGTTATATGAAACAGAAGCTGGATATGGTCTCCTCAGAGATTTATATACTGATTTTGTTTCTGTGATTTATAAAGTAAAAACAGCTTATACCACTGAACAAATTAGTTGCTATACCTTCCCACGTTATCCACTGATAGACCAGGATTTAAACTGTATACTGTTTCATACTCTATTTCAGTATAAACCCCCACACTGCAGTAACCTTCCACTGAAGGTAAAAACTAGCCTGTCACTGTGTAATGAAAAAACATTTTCAACCAAGCAAATCATTTCAGATGCAGTGCAGACACTGAGATGTGACTCACTTCTCGATTGGCTTGTCATTAGCGCAGAGTCTTAATTTTGAGAGCGCCACGCTGAACTCCAAGAGGAGGTCAACCAAGAGTCACAACGTGATGGAATTTTAAGCGATGTAAGCGTGTGCCCATCTCATCCCGTCATTAGACACGCAGGGAAACTGGCTCTATAATGTTTTAGTTCACACTGTCTGTGACTCCTCTCTGTTAGGCTTCTGAAGCGAAAGCTGAATTTAATTATTGGAGACCATGATAAGATAGTGACATGCCCTACATTTGTTTTATATTTAGTTACTCATTTGGCACCCCTGTGTTGTAACCAACATAAAATTATTACCTCTTGATACAGCTGGATGATTTACTTAAGCAAGGATCCTACAGCCCTTCTGGGACTTGAACCAACAACATCATCATGATCTTATCAACTGCAGTACCTGACAGGCTGACAACCCTAGAAATGTTTCCACTACTAACAGTGACAATATTTGTATTCAGGTGTAAGGATCATTGTAAAACCAGCCTTTTAGGTGCGGTGTTAAAATACATGCTTATGAACTATATATTAGATGACATTCTGAGTATTGCAGTATTATTCTGCAAGTGACCTATAGGGGTATGACAAATACTGGGATCTTACTTTCCAAGTACTGTTGACCATAGATAAATGCCATATCTTCTGTCCTCAGCTGAAGAATGAGGTATTTGTAGGACAATATATTTGTATGTTTGGATGATGACCAATCTGCAGGATGCTTCTTATTCCATACTGAAAGTGCGCGTTCTCTCTCTGGTACAGTAACTCAACTGTGACAGCTACATGTTTGCTGGGATTTATTAGGCAGGATATTCAACCACAGGCGCATAGAGGCTAATCTGTCCAGGTCGTCAAACTGGCTGCACTGACTGCCCTGCATAAAACGGTTGGATTAGTATTGAGTCATTGGAGAGCCTAGAAAAACAATGAGGATGTCAAATAAAGGGGCTTTTCTGAAATTAATGCAGCATCAAAATGAAACTGGATACTGGATGAGGTTGCTGTTGACATCATTACATGTTAACACACTATACAGTTGTTTCTAGACACAGGAAATTAAGGAAATACATTCTTTATTAATTTCAACATATCTTGTTCCACAGCCCACAAATAGTATTTCAAACAAGCTGTAATCTTGAGCAAAAAATAAAGAGGCAATTTGTTTCATCCTGTATAACTTCGTTATAACATTTTTAGAAAAAATAACAGTAGATAAACCAATACACCAACAAATAAATAAATACATGATTAAATAATGGTAGTTAAAGGAGATGCACAGAGTCCGTTTCAGGGGGAACCTCTCTTTTGTCTAAAACCTAGAGAGCAGATAAAAAAAAAGAAGCTATCCATCTCCAACCAGCCACCCACAGTAAACCACATTTACTAAGTAATTTGATTTGGGCATGTTGTGACACTGAGTTTCCAGTAGGGGTCAACATTGATAGGCGTGGCAAGGAGGCATGAAGCCTGTTATCACATTGATAACACTGAGAAACTCATTTATTTCTGTGCTAGGTGCTCCCATCCTCAAACTTAAGTGTTTTTTGCAGCAATCTATGCAACACTATAATTCTTTGGTCACTGCCAAATTCATTAAAGTCATGGGTATCTCTTGGTTTAAAACATTTTGTCTTACATGACTATTAAGTATTGTAGCATATTTAAAGTGCATCTATTGTCTCAAAAAAAAAGTTATTCCAAATTCAGGAATCATCCCCCTTCCCTGTACAGTTGTAGAAGTCTGCAAATTCATCCTTGACCTTGTTGCTATGGGGCAGACAGAAGGTTGGGCCAATTCAGCAACAGCTTTTATCTGCATTTTTCTCCTATGATTGTTTATGTCACAAGGCAAACAATACAATAACACTGGGTTTAGCACAGAGTCACTGTCAGGTTTTATGTTATTCCATAAATTTTATACTATGTTTAATAAGATACCATTCAAAGTATTTCTACACGTTCAAGGTTAACTGGTAAATATATCTGTAGGATAAATTATGAAATAACAGCTGACACAAAGACACACTTCACAAAAACATAACACACTTCAGCTGTAGGAAGTTGCACATGATATTCAACTGGCATTTTCTTTGGTTAAAAAAATCCAAATCAATAAATGGTATATCAACAAAGTACTGATGAATTGGTACCACACATTAAGTTCTAATGTATGGAAATCTTAAATCTCTAAATCTGGATTTTGTTTTACATGTCATGTATGTATTAGATTAGTCTTTTGTCTCTAATAATATGCCACATATGCACACTTTTGTGTTTCCCTGAACACTCTGTTGTCTTGTTGTGTCATTCCCATCAGTTTCTGCAGGTGGCGCTGTGGGAACTTAAAGGGAACCTCTTTCCATTTTGAAAACCTAAAGTACGCATATAGGATTTGTATGGTCTCCGATTCCTTTGTTTTCTGAAGGTCAGTCGTTTAATATGACCATACTACAGCACCACTGGGATAGTTAAAACTACCCCAATTCATAGCTATTTTCTAAACTCAGAGGAAGCAGCTACTAACAGGTTAATTTTTAAGGAATTGTTTCCAGACCTATTGCTTCTATGCCAGTGAAATAAACCTCTTAGCACATCACAGTCTCACTAAGATATGAACCCTAGCACAGTCAGGATTAAGTGTGTTCTTGTGAATTCTAATTTTCATAAACCACTGTTTTAATAACATTTTAAGACAACCCTCCAGCGGTCCTGCACCTAGTCTGTCTTCAGGAGGTTCACAGATTTGCATAGCATGCAGGCAACAGACAGAATGTCTTTTTGAAAAACTGTTCCAGAACCTACCACCCAAACAGGGGGAAAAAAACAATTGTACTGGCGTGAGTTGAATAATTTACAGCCAAGGCCAGAGAAAATACTGAAATAAATACCTACAGTACCATATCTGTACCATTGCTTCCTTCAGCTGTCAGGTGGCAAGGGAGCTGTGTGTTTGTTGTGTGTGTCGTGTCGACGTGGCGGCTGGACGTGGCGGCTGGGGGTTGGGTGGTGCAGTGATGGCGATTGCTAGCTGATGAGTAGACAACCTGTGATGGGGGGGGGGGGTATTGTTGGGCAGCCGGTCCACCTTGGATCCCCAGAGAGATTCCTCTCCTTTATTTTCTTCCTCTTCTTCAATTCTCCCATTTTCCCCTGTTTGATGCATTATTCTGTATAAATGATGTAGTGATGTATTAGAACACACCCATATCAAGAGCCTTGGGAGTTACTCTGTTGTGAAGGGCTCTATATAGAAGAAAATTTTAATTGAATTAATTTCCTCTGGCCCAAATCACCTCCGTTCTTCTTTTTTTTAACCTCGCATCTTTAGATTGCGTGAGAAGGCCCCCGTCTGGCAGCAACAGCATGCACTGTACATGCTACACACAGTCACCTGTGGGCTCCGAGGCACCCACCCCCGCACACATTGACCCACACTTCCTGGGGTCCCGGAGGCCATGGAGAGCTGGGGATCCGGCCCCGCTGCCCCCAACACTGCCCAGTGTTTCCTCAAGCTGCATGCATGGTCAGGATATTGAGAGAGATGCCTGTCAGGACACAGGGGTCCTAAGACCCATTTTGAACTGGGGGAGCAAGGGGCGGGGGGGTTTTGGAATGCCTGTTCTAAACAAGCATGCAGCCTGTCAGGTATGATCTAGGCCTGCCTGATATGAGGCCTGCCTGTTATGAGGCCTGCCTGATATGAGGCCTGCCTGATATGAGGCCTTCCGATAGGGTGTTACTTTTTTTTTTTTTACCCAGGTACCGGGGATCCGGCCCTGCTGCCCCCACCTCCTTTTTATCCCAGGTGTTTGTGTCGTTGGTGAGCTGACAGGGACGCTGGCACATTCCCACTGTGTGTATGGCCCAGCACGGCCCAGCACGGCCATTAATATGCCAACCAAGCAGGCAGCTTCAGTTTAATTTATATGGTACTCGCTAGAATTATTATTCCCAGGGTTCTGCCGGTAACATTTGGCCTGTAAAGAAATTAACTTTGTCTCCTTCCTAAGAACAGTAATACATCAAGCCATAATCTCCACAATAGATGAGTCATATCTCATATTATACAAGACGAATATATTTGTATTTCTGATTTTTCTAATTTCTCCTGTCTGACCATCTGTATATATTAAGTCTGACTAAGATTAATCCCTAAATCCTATTGGACGCCAGGCAGGTGTTTTCTGTTACATTTATATGAGTAAATAAGAGCTCCTATCAGGAAATAACCTTATACATTATTTTCGCTATCTCTGTAATATATCAGGAACATTGGCTTCTCAGATGGGGAATAATGCGAGGCAGAATCGCATGATTTCGCACAGTGTGTCCATTGCGGGGCGGGGGGGCGGGGGTTACCCAGGCTGAGCGCGGGTTCGGCTGGGCGCAGACGCTACTGATGTATGAAATGGCTTTGTGTCCAGGGATCAGGATGCGAAATCATTTAACAGGCTCTTGCCATGGAGAAGGGGCAGCTAACGCACATTCCGGGCCGCGCTAACGAATACCTGGTGATTACTTTTCCAGGAGTCGCTACCTCACAACCCTTCAGTTCCAATGTTTGAGCTTTAGGGGGACCACTGCCAGAGGGGGCTATTATTAAATCCCTGTGAGGTGTGAGCCGTCCACCCCCCAAACACCGCCCGGTGGTCCCCTGATTTTGCTGCTTTCGGTGAAGTCGATGTCCATGTTTAGTTCCTATTGGTTTCTGCGGCAGCCATATTGATTCATCTATGTATTTTTATAGGGGAGTTTGACATGTTCATCCCATTTCTCCATTACTGCTACTGCTCGGAATGACCCAAAGTCCATGTTAAATGACTAAATGGAAATCGTTATTTATTTTTTTTGTCCTGCAACGGCACTGAATTTGTCTGGCCTAATAGCCGGTTACGAGTGGGATAGTTTTTGTTTCGGTAAAGGATGTATTGTAATCATCCCTCCATCTCGGTTCAAATCTCGTTTTTTTAAGTATTTTTAACCGTCTCTGGTTTTTTACAAAACCACAAATGATTTGTTGAATCGTCTAGTAAACACGGTTTTACACCGTGTGGCATAATGAATTCCGATTTTAATTTGAGTCTGATCACATTTTCATTTGACATGGATACTGTGTCCCATGTAGGTGACACAATACCGCAGCCGGAATTATAAAATTCGCAATTAACTTAAATCACATTTCTCAGCTCCACCGACCCCTTTCCCCACTAATAGGTGTGACGGCGACATTGTGTGGTGTGGGAGATATTAATTTCCCTCATCTAGCATCCAATAATGTTGGATTTAATTTATCCAGTTCATTTGCCATTCTGTGTTCGGTGCTCGAAGTTCCAGCTTGGACTGGGTAACCGGCCTGTCACTGGAACTGGAGCCACGATCGGTGGTGGCGGCAATTTGTGAGGCGACAATGAAGCCTTTGTGATAACGGAGCACGTTGATTAGAGCAGATGAGCGCGGCAAGGAGAATGGATTCCCTGGGCCTGCGAGGGGTCGCGTCTGAGAGCGTCTGGGGTCAACAGCTCCCCCAACACTATATGCAAAGTAATTCATCTCCGGTATTATCCAAATAATGACATATTTCAGAGATTATAAATAGGGATGTTTCCTCGGACGGCACTTCAAGTGTTATTTAGAAAACGATTCGGCTCCCGTGTGCCCTTTAATTCCCAGAACAGCGTCACCCTCCACCTGTAGGGGGCAACTTGTTAATGGAAAAGAGCCACCCGTAGTGCTTAATGACCGTGGTGGCCGGTCACTTAGCATGTTGCTTAATGGCTGATTGTTTTATGGCAGAAGTTTGTTCAAACCAAGAAAACAGGCAAAAATAACCCCTGGTTACTCATTTGACGACAGCAAGCGGGCATATACATATATATATATATATATGCTGCATTACTGGTGATCTGATGAGACTAAAACCAGCCTGTTACTTTTATATTCCATGACAGCTGGCATCCTAATTTACGATGCCTTTACAGCATCACCTAGCAAGAGGGGAAGATTATCTCATTCCTACCAGTAGGATTTGACTTTGAATATGTGCTTTAAACCAAAGATTCACTGACATACTGACAGAATACAACATCCTCAGTTAATTATATGCCAGTACATTTTTTTTTACTGCAATGCAGTCAATTCTGAGATAAGACTTCAAAAGCTATTTTTGGAGCAATTCACCCATAAAACCATCAATCCGTCTTGGTGCTTATCGGATATAAGGTCGGAGTGTTACCCACAGGCCTCGATGCAGGGGACACCCTGATCAGGAGTGAGTCCATCACAAAGCACACACACTCAAACACACTCTGGGCAATTTACAGACACCACTCCACCCTACTGAATATTTTTGGGCTGAAGAAAGAAACCCACACAAACACAGGAGAACATGCAAACTCCTCACACACGAAGACGGGGTACTGATCTGGATCCCCAAACCTGGAGGAATGAGGTGGCAGTCATGCCCACGGAACCATCATGCCATCCCATCATGAAAAGCATCTATTTTTAATTTAGGCTCTCAACGTGAGCATTTGCGTAATAATGTTTCACCAATGAGCAGCATAAGTGTGTGTGTGATCCAGCGATCGTGGGCGGTCTTGGTCTTCCGTGTGATGTGCCGATCGTGGGCAGTCCTGGTCCTCCGTGTGATGCAGTGATCGTGGGCTGTCCCGGTCCCCCATGTGATGCGCNTAAGGTCCTCCCAGTGTGGATATGGTTTCTCCCAGGCTGAGAGCTTCTGTCATACAGCCTGCTTTAAATACAGTGTGGAGCGACACAGCAGCGGAAGACTTTCTAATGGGGCGGCGTGTTAGGTGTGCCTTTGTAGATCTAGTGCAAACTAAGCTCTCATTCCAGTTCTGCTTGAGTCATTTTGGATGTGCACACATAGGGAGTCTAGGAGAATGTCTAACACAGAATCAGGCAAACTCCTAAAATACGCTTCCCTTATCCAGTTCATCTCAGCAGGGTAACTGATACTTATGGACATAAATATTTGTCTGGATTTTGGGTATTGTTATGTCCCATCTATCGGGGCAGTCCCTGTCAACGAGCTGTGCTACCATAAAATGTTCTACTGGAACACTGTTTAGGCTGAAGAGGCCATTATAACTGTCGTTCCAGGCTATCTGTTCCTGTGATAATGCTTCAAGTTATAAAGGGGTTGAACTGCAGGGATGCAGACAAAATGGGAAATGGATAATATCCACTGACAGACACGGATATCATTATGAAAAATACTCTATTAGAAAACCAAAACATGTTCCCTGCAGCTGACAAAACCACTGCTGTCCCGGTACACCCAGCGGCTTAAAAACGGGTCTCATAGCAGCGAACGGTGTCAGATCCGGTCACGCCACTCCATCGAACGACACGCGCGAAGAGTCTCCAGCAGCACGAGCGGATGCTAAGCGCGGTACACGTTCAGTGCAATGGCAGATGAGGAAACAAAGACAGACAGCCTAACAAAGTCTGTATGCCCATTCAGATTGACCGAATCTGTCCGCACGACGGCTGCAGCAGGAAGGATTAATTTTAAACCACAGCTGTCTCTCCATCTCTATCTGCCTATCAGGAGCTGTCGCTGATGTCACATGCCAAGCAGGTGGTCGTGTCCCCGCCATACTTCTACGGTGGACGGAAAAAGAACCCAGTGTGTCCGTCCACTGAACTGAGGTCTAGGTTATCACAGCTCTAAAACACACAAAACGAACAAACTGCATCCAGCTACACACTGTTAACATCGTTAACATTACTCTATATCATTAGTTTTCTCTTGAGGAGATCTAACAGACTCTAAAAACAACTTTTACTGGGATTAATCATTCGTCCTAAACCATATGATTTGGAAAGTAACGATGACATGAGACTGCAACACTACAGAAGAAAAACAGGAAGGGAGGGTACATCACATGTTAAAGAGTAATGGTAGCATCCTATACAATACAGATATGGAGGGTAAGGATAGATGATATTGTTTATCATTACGAATGTCACCGCAGAGAGACTCCAGGAGGGGAACGCTGCAATGCAATTGGATAAACGCAGGGAGTGCATCAAGGAGCTGGTTACCTTCCAGGGTGCAGGAGCTGGTATCAGGTCAGAGCACAGGGATACGGGAGTGCCCGGCTGCCCCCATCATGATGCAGACTCAGCCAGAAGCAGGGAGGGGTGGAGGAGGCAGGAAAAGACCCTAACATCCTATATCTGTTAACTTTCCACCCAGAAAATTAGGAAAGCCCAAGAGCTTTGAGCATAGAGAACAGGGCTGAAGCAGGGATGATGCTCTGCTGATTCCCCAAAACAGGGTCCCAAGGAGTCTGTGTCTGGCCCCTGGCTGGTTTCCCTCCAGTATTAGCAAAAGGTTCAGGGCTTTTTTTTTTAACCAACTTGTGATAAAGGTTGGGAGGTGGGGGAAGTCAGCTCTGAAAACCCCCTCCCAAGTACAGAAGAGCAAGGAAAAGGGGGAGAAGCAGTGCTAGCTCAGCAAACCTACCCCAGGTTGGGGGGTGGGGAATTAAATAAGAGAGAGACGACCAACGGATAGAAATTGTAGAGGCGGTCCTGCTTCTCCGGGCCGGCAGCTCCCGGTGAGGCCTCTCTATGCCACAGAGGAGATCTGCTTCTCCTCGGGGTCGGCGTCGCCCTCCCCGTCGCCCATCAGCGGCTGCCTTTTCTTCAGCTCCCGCTGGTACTTTGCCATGAGTGACGCATAGATGCAGCCGTAGGCAGCCGCCGCCACCATCATGATGCAGACAATGCCGCAGACGACACCGGCGATCACCACTGTGCCGATGGCCCGCCGTACACTTACGGGCCGGTACCGCTGCCGCACGCAGTCTGGAGCTGAAGCGTCCGCTGCCGGGGCGGGTGGTGGGCCTTCCGAAGGTGGGGTGATGGACGGGCTGGCAGCCCTGTTGCAGGGAGGAGTGTTCCCGCCTCGAGAGCTACCGTTATCGTCTTCTAGTTGAAGGCAGTAGTTGAACATCTCCACCGGCACGCTGCGGATGTCTCGCCCACGCAGGTCCTTGGGGAGGGTGCACTCCACGGCATCCACGTGTCCACCTGCAACCGCCCCAGAAAGGGAGGGAGAGAGAGGAAGAGAAAGGAAGCTCAGCACATATCAAACCATGTTTTTCTTACCTTAAATTAAGAAACTTTAACCTCCAATCTGGTTTTTTATGAGTCACCAATAAGGGTTAAGACTTCGGTCTTAAGTGTGAATCCAGCGGCATGTTCCTGTAGGTGAAGTCAGTGTAAACAGATGCTCAGTGTACCCATGTAAATGCAGGACTGCTGCTGCTCGTCTGACAGCACAGGGCTGAGACTGCTGGCTCATCTGTCAGAGTCGCAAGATCTGTTGAAACTATTAGAAAACGGATGACAGGTGAAGGTCTACACCAAGGCCCTACATGCAGAATGTGGAGGGGAAGGGGTTAAAATGAAACGAGTGCGGAAGCGCTTATAGAGACAAGTGAGTCCTTAGAGGTTGGTAGTTAGAGAAGTAGGCAGAGTGACAGTTTAGGGGGGAAAACAGAACTCAATGAGGCAGAAATGTGTTGTTTTTCCCTAAATGAGTAAAAATACAGAAAAAGAACAGATGTGCTGAATGAATAAAGCGACAAATACGGCAGTGAGAATGCACACTCTAAACATGAACTCTGTTAACCCAATTACAGCTCAAAATGAGACAGTGATGAAAGGAAGACCAGAGGCTATGCAGCAGAGCTGAGGGATAAAGGGGAAGCCCAGGGTGGAATACGAGGTCTGGCTAAGGACCTACGGTCAGCGCCGTAACTTCAAACAGATACATGGATTCGCATGACAGATGGCCCCTTTATCTTTTCATGTGTTTTTTCAAGAATTAATTCTACATCTGCAGCAGAGCAGGGGAGAGTTTAAACCTCTGACCTACACCAGAGAATGGAAGAAGCAGACAAGCAACCTGCTACAGTAGCTGCAGATGCACAAAAACAATCTAAAATCTAAAAGCCAAAGGACTTTGCAGACAGGAACGCTAGCTGATGGCTGATATCATTAGCAATCCTAATTTAGCATTTCAGCAAACTCCATCGGCTTAGGGTTCAGTTCTGACCACTATAACGTGTTTCTCCGTGGGCCTACTAGCATATTTCCTCTCGTTTTCTGCAGTCAGTCGTGTCCTCTGCTTTTCTGCTGGATCGGTCTGTGAACCGTAGGAACTCGAGGAATGAGGCTGACCTGCCTTGCGCACGTAGGCAGCCAGCGCTAGGGGCTCACCTCTGTACAGGAGCCACTCTATCCAGTGCTTAAAGTCTCTCAAATTGCAGTCGCATTCCCAAGGGTTTCCGCCCAGCTGTAGGTGCTGTAGGCTGGCCAGTGGCTCGAAGGCGGCTCTCTCCAATGCGTGCAGCCGGTTCCCGGCCAGTGACAGCCAGGTGAGGCTCCGCAGCTCGTCAAGCAGCCCCGGGGACACCGTGGACAGCCCGTTGAGGGACAGATCGAGCCGCCGGAGCTGGCCCAGGCCCCGCAGCAGTCCGCGGTCCAGCGACGTCAGGCTGTTGTTGCGTAGCACCAGCTCCGTCAGGTTGCCCAGCTCACGGAAAAGGGTGGCGGGTAGCCCATCTAGGTAGTTGTTGGAAAGGTCCAGGTACTCCAGGGCGCTGTGGTTGGCGAAGGTCCCCGGTGCCAGTGACGCCAGGCGGTTGTTGGACAGCACGAGAGTGCGGATACCTGGCAGCAGGCCAAGAGCCAGCAGGGACACCAGGTCCCGCCCTCCACAGTCCACCTCAGTGCCATTGCAAGTACATACAGACGGGCAGCCGCCGACCACCCCCAGCTGGCCAGCCAGTGCCCCCAGCAGCCAGAGAAGAGCTATGGAGACAGAGGGGAGAGAGAGTGAGCATTGTGACTGAGCTGTTGAAGGTCACATGATTGTCCACAGCTACACAGAAAATAATAAAGACTGAGCTTTTGCTCTCAGCAACCTTTGCATGGGGACTTTCTATTCTAGACCGATTTTTGAAGGGCGATTCGATTGAGACAAGGGCGGCCAAAAATAGAGCCAAAGCCACGCTGTCTATTGCTGTATGCAGCCCTGACGATTGCAGTCCGCCTTTGGCGCTGCCCAGATGCTGTGGCCCAGGAAACGTTGGCTGAGACCTCAAGAGGTCGGCTGGGGGGGGTGGACCCTCCCTGGGGGGTGTGTGGCCCGGCTCGCTGCTCACACTCCACTGGCCCTGAGTCACGCTGCATTGAGGCTGCTTTGCGTTGTTCATGATAAGAATGTACAATGCACACTTGGAGAGCCGCCGTGGCCAACGCAGCCCCCGTGCTGGGATCCGCAGTCAGCTTAGGACGGGGCGTTGCGTGCTGTGAGTGTGGGCGTGTGGTGTGCTGGGGGGGCAGGGGGGGGGCTGCTCCAAGGGGGCTAAATGGATGTTTCTGAAAGTACTTCACCAAGCCGAGCTTGATTCTACAGCAGAGGGTGTATGTGTGTGTGTCACTCTGTGGAG